TTTACATTATTTGTCATGGATAAAATGTTTGATAACAGGCTGATGAAGGACTGATGGGAACAGCAAACGGAATATAGGCCTGATTAACAGTATTAACAAACGAATCCTTAAAACGAATGATTTCCTTTTTCTAAAGACGTCCGTATCATGTTGAAATAGTGGCGACGGAGTTGAGAATCTGTATCTGTCCCAGTGCAAAAATAGAAATCAAACGCGGATCCAGAGGGACTCCCCTCCCCCTCCCTCCCGCCCGCCCCGCCCTGACACACACAAAATATGTATAGGCTAACAATAATAATAAAAATAAGATCGGATATAAACATCTAACGGGACTGACACCCCCCCCCAGCCAAAATTGCTGGATCCGCCTCTGAACGCGCCTGATGCCTGTTTAAAAAAAGCCTACATAATAGTAGCGTTTATTGTTGCGTAACGATCAGTATGTTTAGCACACGTACGACCAACGAGACTGCCGTATACAATAACGTTTCAAACAAATGAAAACAGTTGACTCTTTATTGCCCGAAATACCGACTTTTGTTCGTCCATGGAGCCAAACAGATGCACACAGCAATGTTCCACGATTCTCCGCCTATAATTAAGACAGATTGTTTCTTAGGAGAATTCTAAGGAAGCCTGATGGCCGAGTGGTTAGATTAGTCGTCCACAAATCGCGGAGTCCGGGATCGAAACCCGTCAGTGTGTTTTTGCTTTTCAACGCACGCGTTCTATTCAGTCATTATAAAATGTTTAATTTCCCGTCGTAAAATACCAACAGTACCTTAGCTTAATCGGTAAGCACTGCTGCTGGTACTGTCCGCGAGTTCCAGGTTGGCGCCTTCGTATAGGTTCAGGGCATGTGGTCCACTCGGAGGATCAGGGCTTAGGGTGCCGCCCTGTTCCTCCCTTAGCTCTTTGCTTTTACATGGTGCCTGGCCCTTCGGGGTTACATGGATGGATAGGGAAGGAAGTGTGTATTGGTCGGGAACGCCGAGATCCCGGAAGAGCCCTAAGGGATTGGCTGGGGCATTGTTATGGCTCAGACCGATCCCTGAATGCTTGGCTAGCACATAACTTTTTTTAATATTTTGTATCCTCTATCTTTTATATTTTGGTTTAGTTTGATATACAGCTGCTCGGCAGGTTGGGTAGTATTAAAATTGAAACAAAGGTCTTTGTCACAAATCAATGAATATTCAATAATTGACTATAATCGAAACGAAGTTTCGTTCGATCAATATGACTATACCATTATTAATGGCGCAATTTATAAAGTTGACGTAAGAAACGCCGTATACAACATTATACGGTTAAAAACAAAGATGTACATTGTTAAAATACTAATAATAATAATAATGAACATTTATATAGCGCCAAAATCCGCCTAAAAAAGACGCTCATGACGCTGTACAAGTTACAAAAATAAACCATTATTATAATATTAAATTAAAGAAAAAAATTAATCGTAACGTGAACAAGTGTGAAAATATCAATACAAAGAATTAAAATGTCAAAGATAAAAGTAGTAAAACAAGAAAAGCTGAATAAACACAAAACCCAATAAACGCAACAAAAATAAACAAGAACAAATACAAATACACCCCTTTAAAAAAAAACCTGCAATTTAAAAAAAAAGGAATCACAAATCAACAAATTATATAAGTATCCAAATTAAATACACACATTATATACACATACAAACATTATACAAACACACATACAAATTACCAATAAAAACCTGTTAAGACATTGAACCTAATAACTGATGATAACAGAAACAAGCAAATTAATGATGATTAATATAAACGGCCTGTTATATTACATCTTGAAAATAATGTTTCTTTAATTGTGAACATTCCCCAAAAATATAGTAATTCGCTTTTAAACTGGAAATAAAAATTAAAAAACAAAGTCAAGAGGAACACCCAAATGTACATTAGGGATTGCATCTAAAAAATTTCATTACATGGGGCTTTTGCTTTTAACTGTCAGTGACATGCAGGAGCGGATCCAGAGGGGGTTTTGGGGAGGTCGAACTCCCCTACCCTGCTCTGACACAAAAAAAACGAACGCTATTTTGCAGTGGTTATTAGATATCTGACGGGCCTGAAGTCTGATGGGTCTGAACCACTCCCCCTCCTCCCAACCCCACTCCAGCAAAAGTTACTATAAATCAATCTCTGACGTAAGTTGGTAAATTGATATGAAATGTGATAGCGACTTATCACTATTTTGACCCAAATGAAGTTTCTGTAGCTGATGTAGAATGAAAGAATGAAATGCTTTAAACAATTATTGTTGGAGGCCCTAGACTGTTTGAAGACCTGTGGGCCACGACCCAGCAGCTATAAGGCAGCATAAGTAGCATTTTGTCACTTTGAAGTTCCGATGATGAATATAAACGACCCGCCAAAAGCGTGGAACACAACAGGCGACAGGGGCGGAACCAGGGATTTTCGAAGGGGGAAATCAAATTGGGGATCGGGAGGGGGCGGGCGCGCATCATACTTTCAATTTGGGCGCCGTTCAAATCCGACAATTATTAACATTATAATACAGAATAGTGTAGTGTACAAATACCCCCTGACCAAGCTGCCTCTATCCGTATTTTGTGCAAAAGCGCACGTTATTACCAGTATCGATTTTGGGGTGTCGCAGCAGGGGGGTCGCATTATTTTTAGGTAATTTCTATGAAAAAAAAATGTTTGCGAGAGCTCGGGGGTTGACCCCCCTCCTTGATCCGCGCCTGGGCGACTCTTGTTACTGTGCTAGTGTGCCGGCGCGATGTCAGACCATATTATACGTCATGTCAAAAAAATGTCTTACTCATCATCCTAAATAACTATGCTCTTTACAATTACAAATGGAATTAACCAAAAAATCTAAAATTTCTATGAGCTTTTAAATCTTACGAAAAACAATCCGCCCATATCAAGCAATCAATTAATTAATTTAAACTTTCGAATTAAGAGTGGGACGCTCCTAATTCGTTTTGAATAGTTTGCGCAATTTCAGAACTGGAGCGTGTCATTTAAAGCCAACTTTTAAAACTGTGTAAAGGCCTGCAGAAACAAAGCAGCAAATTTATTTGTTACAGGAAATTACAGTCCTTTAAATTTATCTCGGACAAGAAAATCGAAATTTGGAAAAAGCACGTGTATGGGCCCTATATATACCAACTTTTTAAAATGTCATGAAAATTTGTGCGTGACGATGCAGTATTTCGATGATCTCTAAAAAAATTGTTTTTCTTTTTCCTTTTAACGATATTCTTAGCGCCGATTTTACCCACCTCAGGGCAGTGTCGTTCCGGGGGAGGGTACTGTGTTGCACAGTCAGGGGCGGATCCAGGAATTTTAGCAGGGGGGTGGGGTTATCGACACAACACAAAATCATAAATGTAGACAGTGTTTTTTGGTTCTCCAGACAACTCTTCAACTCCAAAAATCAATGGGAGGGGGGGGGGGGGTCGTACCATACTTCAATGGGGCGCTGTTAAAACTCGTCGATAATTAATACTAGATCACGCTGTGTGTATTTTGTGCAAAGGCGGACATTATTGCTAGTACACATTTTTTTTGTTGGGGGGGGTGTCCGAGCGGGGGGGGGCGGGGCTTTCACATGTTATATAATGAATTTCTATGGATTTGTTTTTTTTTTACAGAGAGGGGGGGGGGGTCAAACACCCCCCCCCCCCCCGATCCGCGCCTGACAGTGGCAAATTGCAACCGGCTACAGATTTTAAGAACGAGCCAGGCGAAGCAAAATGAGGCTAGCGACATCGGCCGGCTGTCGGGAAAAGCGTGTCACGTCAGTCGGCAGCGATGAAGACCGCCACCTACTGTCCGAGAGTGACCAAGTGTCCGCTTTTTACAGTGATGGGTGCAATAACCTGCCATATGCCCCAATGATAAATGCCCCCACTTCATAAAGTCAGAAAAAATATCCACAATTTATCCTCCAAGGTGTTCGAGACACACATCAAAATTAAAGCTATTTTTATCATCTGTCTTCGTCTTTTTAACTTTTGGGGTAATCTGATGACTTTTGGGAGAAATTTCCATCTGAACATATATACCCCTTAAAATATTTCTGAAGCCCATCGCCATTTTGAAAAACGGTGCCACTCCATTGCCCAATAGAGGACAAATTGTACAGAAACACAAGTTTACGTTTCGGTGCACGGCTTCCACCCTAGCTTTTTTGTAAGAACCCTCAAGTCCATGGCCCACAATATACTCAAATACTGAAGAATTTGAGGGCATGCAAATCGTGATTTGGCCGGCGTACTATAGTGACAATATCCCCACCCCTTGGCCTCGGGAAAAATTAAAGTGACAATCCCCGACCGTGCCCCGACATACATATGTGGGGCGCACTACACTGTAAACACTGAAAACAGACAATGAACGCGCACCCAGCTGACTACATTGTAATACCGCAAGGCCGGGCGGCAACTTGACAGGCTGATTTCTAAATTTTAACTAGAGTGTTTTTAGAGTCACGGTAGTGATTGCCTTTTTCATGCAGTACGCAAATGTTAATTATGTAATTTAAGTGACCGTAATCCCCACCCTGGGGCATGAAAAACGTACCCAAATCCCGACATTGGACCTGGGGAAGCGCGGGAGGGGGCCGCGGGGAGGGGGCAACATTGATAGGCGCAATAGTCAACTTTTTTATGCCATGCAATTTTGATATTTTCCCCATGCCAGAATCCCATAGCTCAAACCATGGAGCTATAATAGCAAGATCAAAACAGAACTTCCTGCAGGAAAGAGGCTTTGAGCTTTCAAATGACACCTACATTTCTTGAAATGATAGAACAAATATTATTAATATTCATTTTTTCCAAGAAAGAGGATCAAAATGCAATCCGGAAATATGAGTCTCCCCCCCCCCCGGCCCACACACTCCGCCCAACCAAAATGTTTGCCACAAAAAGTATAGTCTGGCCCCTGCACACGGCCCATTGAAAATATCGATCTACCGTGCACGCATACAGGTACTATACACGCTCCCGATCAATTCCAAAATGGCGTCCTTTTTGAAGCGAACTACTGCGTAGTGCGTTACGTAAATGGATTAAGTTCAGTTATCGAGTTCCCTCATTTTGCAGTATTTGTTCATATCGTTGATTGCTCATCCAGGTTAAGTACATCTTCCCCATTTTCAAGTCCAAACCTTAGAAGCACCGAGCAGCAGAAAGGTAAATATGATCGAGGATCAAGGCGAGTTTACGCATTAAATAACGCAGTGGCTATTGTTACGGCGGCCGTAACGCATTTCCCATTTTCTATCGTTACGGTAGACTGCAACTTTTATAAAAACATGAGAAGAAAATATAAAATTAGAAGGAAAAAAGTGAATTTGAACGTTATAGAATTCGGACTTTATTTCCCTTTTAATAAAAATCCTCCAAAGCCTCAGGTTAGAAAAGGAAAAAAATACGAGTGCAAAACTGAGATGCGAACCCGCAACCTCGCGGTGCAAAATCCTACCCTCTATCTACTGAGCTGTCGCACTGCTTGCTATAACGTGGGGAAACAAATAATTACAAAATGTATATAGGCCCTACATATACCTGCGTGCGTATCAAATAAGTATCGTAGAGGGCGCTAAACAACGGCTGCCGTAACGATAGCCACTTCGTTAATAATAATACTATAGGATCGGAGTAGGCCTAGGGCCTAGGCCTATAGGCCGCCCTACATGCCCTACACCGACACTGCCATGACTGCAGTCTCAAATCACATGAATCATCATGGGCGATTGTGGTGCAGTGGGGGATCGTGAAGTGTAGGGCCCCTGTTTTGTTTTGATCAAATTAGAGTCAAAGATATGTTTTATTGCTCAAAAATCACATTTACAATCAAAAGCAGACTTCTCTCAATTCTAATGACACCCGTTTTGTAATTATTTTTGAACAGATTCTTGGACTTGGGGTAGAAATCACGATTTTTAACCCCAAATTACCTCAAAAAATCAAAACATTGCCCTCTGTCTGTCCATACTGGTTCTTCAAAGATGGGTTTCCTTTTTATTGAAACACCCTGTGTGGCCTGTACAGGTATATTGACAGTGATTGTTGGAGGACTTTTCAGGATTGAGGCAGTGGTCACCCTCGTGTGCAATATTGAAGAAAAGTCTCCTTTAAAAATGGAATTGAGTCTGCAAACTTGGTTGGTGAAATACTGAGGACATTTTCTTTGCCCCGGTGGAATTTTTGGAGAAATTTGCTGTCTAAACTGTGAGTAAAGTGGGCCTGATTTAGTTTTGCACGTTTCAGAGCACTCCAGAGCCCTGTCTGATGGGTTGCATACTAGCAATAATGCCTCTAGGGAGTCAGGGCTAAATGTTGAAGATGTTACTGATAATAACAGGCTAATGAAAACTTTGAAAGAGTCCATTTCAGGATCGTCCTAAACAAATATGTGAAAGAGCATGTACATGACTGTGTTTTCTCTTCCCCCCCCCCCCTTTTTTTTCAAAGTGTTTGATCGGACACCAGGATGAGTGGGCGTGGCAAGCATCACCATGGGCAGCAGCAACAGGAGGATAAGGACAAGATAGAGATGGTAGGCGCTCGCAGCAAGCTGGAAGGGGTGCTACAGAACCTGGTGGACAGAGCAGACGAAGAGAGGTCAGTGTAGAAATTAAAAGGAAAGATCCAGCATTTGCAAACATCACAACGAAATGATCAAACTATCACAAAGTACCGGGTTGTTAGGGAATGACAGTCTAAAGCATCCTGGAAGATCGTGGCACCTGGTGTGCTGACACTTTCAAGAAAAATGGTATTTGTCTCCAAAAAAAAGCACTATTAATCTATATTTAAGACACACTAGGTATTATGATCAGAATATTATGTATGTACGTACATGTAACATGGACAGAAATTTGTCACATAATGTATGTCCAAGCTGCAAACGATTTTTGGATAAATTCATGCACAAGATAATATTATTGTCCTGTCAATTTATAGCAAAAGTTATATCCATGTTAATACGTAATGATTTACAATTGTAATGATTTTAAATTGTTCCAACTGTCCAATGCTGGTATTGGTCAAGCTTACTTGACTCGAGCTTACTTGACTTGACTTGGCCAAGGTTTGTTTTTATTTTTGCGTTTTCCTATTTAATTTATTGTTTAATTCATTTTGCTTTTATTGTATTTGTCTTGTATTCATTCCTTTTTCTGCAGTTCTCCAACAGAGATAGAACTTAGTCCCATCATCAAAACTGAGCCTGAACCAGAAAGGTATGAAAATGCTAATGATATTGATTTTTCTCCAACGCCAAGAAACAAACTTTCGTCCATACTTGACTTGATTCAGGACATTTCAAAATGTCTTGCATCTTGCATCTTGCATTGGTGTACTCTCCTAAAAGCATTGCTGCTGTCCTGGAGAGGGTGGGTTGCGATTCCATATGTGCTCCGTGTATGTGCTGTTAGGGTGCTTATCTGATGGTGGTATTGTCTATTTGTCCTGAGAGAGATTGGTAGCTCCATCCCTCTTACAGCTAGGAGAGCTTCTGTCTAAAACCCTTTCAGATTGGTCGCAGTGACCGCACCCACTGATAGCCCGTTCCAAATCCGAGCAGCTCTCTCGAAAGGGCTATAGAGGTAGCAGTCAACTCTCGTGAGTGGTTGCCTGTAGGCGAGGCTATGTTGATTGGTCTGGTTTTGTCGGCTTTATCATATGTTTTGGACGATGTTCGGAGGGGTAGTTATTGGCCATGTAGAATTTTGTAGAGGGGTTCAGCCTGATGGAGGAGACGTCTGTCGTGTAGGGTGTCCCATCCCAGTGACGTCAGCATGTCAGACATACTTGATTCCCAGTGGTGGTCCTTCATGCCGAAAATGTGCCGCTTGGCGTTGGACACTCTCAACTATTCTGATGTTGCGGATTGTGTATGGGTTCCGAGCACTTGTGGCAAATTCAAGTTGTGGTCTTACTAGAGTGTTATATGCTGTCTTCTTGACCTGCCTGCTGCATTTTCCGAGGGTGCGTCCTGAATCTACTACTGTGCTTGAACCCTGTGACACATCCAACCAGTATGCACTGACACTCCACATGGGTAGCAAGTAAAAGTGGCTGAAAAAATGCACCCTGCATCCAGGGTAGTCTACTGCGCATGCGCTTTACAAAGCAATCGAGGAACTGTCGCACGGGTGTACATGTAGTACGCACGCACGAACATCACCCAAGAGAGATGCTTGGTTGTACGGTTTGCGTAAATTATATAAATGCCGGACTGGAGAAAATTTATGGACAATAAAGATGCCTCCTGTACAAACGAAAGTTGTACACAAACAACTGTATACAACTGTAGTTATGTTACTGTATTGCAAACGAATTGAAATAGTGAAGTAGAGCATTAATATTCTTTTGGTGAGCTGTACAAGTTTCTCCAAAAATTTTGTTTAAGGTGCACAATTATATATATATAAAAAATTGGCAAGTGAATATGTATGAGGTATAGTAAAGCAAATATAACATGGTTTATTTTGGGTGGACAGTCGATATTAGCTCCACTCGGTATTGGAAGTTGACAAACTAGTTCCCTCAGCTTCGCCTCGGGGAGCGAATATCGACTGTCCACCCTCACCCCATGTTATATTTGTATACTATACATTTTGAGAGAGAAAAACGGAGAAAACATATGTACCTCTTTACACACAATATTTGGGGTCTCGTAACTGGGTTCCATTGCTAACGCACATAAACAGTGTGCCGGCGAGCACTTTTTTTTTTCAAACCACCTTCAATGATTTGTAATACTCTTCTTAATGTATTTAGTACCTTCCCCATCTTAAATTTGAGCAAGTTTTGCATTAAATCAGGAGGTCCCTTCCTGGGTAATATGGTTCCTACATGCCTTTAAATGAAGTACAGCGTAATTTTGTTCCTTTGTATATTAAAAATCTGACTCCGACAGTCACACTAGTTTATGAGGTTTGTGGGACATTCCCCTTTCTCACAATGTCATCTTTATGTATGTAGTGAACCTACTGAAACTGCCTCGCCAGCCAAACGTGTGGTCAGCCGGTCTCGGAAGAGAAGGAAGCGAGAGTTGCCACCCTGCCAGGTAGACAGCGATCTCCTAGATGGGGCAAGGCTGCAGCGTAAGTCACCTCTCTACATTGTATCTGCAGCCTATTATAGTTGGTTGGGTGTTGGAGAATATTTCTGTGTTACTTTGCCAGCTAACTTTATTGGCTAACTCGGGTAAAGGAATCAGTCCTAGAGGACTCGGGAAAGATCCTAGCGAAATTGAATGGGGAAGTAGAATTTTTGTGATTGAGATTTTTTTTTTAACTTAAAGGTGATATATAACATTTGCTGTTGCTGTAATTTTCAGAAATGGGTGAATGTGGGCTAGTATTTTAAAGCATATTGTAAATACACTGACCTGTTTAAAGTTTTGTGTTCATAGATGCTGGAAAAACTAAGAAAAAATTGTAGTCTTGTAGTCTTGTTCCCTGACCCTAGACCAAACGGAGCCATTTATAGATGCCCGGGAATTGTCAGGTCAGGGAACTAGACCAGCTGGCTTGCACGTGTTCACGGATGTGTAATCTATTGCGAACAAAATGTGGACTGAATAAATATGGCAAATTGGGTGCAGTATTTGGAAAAAGTCAGGTTTTTTCCCGACGATGGTTGGCAGACCATCATTGGAAATATTGATACAAAAATTCCATTTTTCTTAACAACGACAGCACACCAGGTGCCATGATTGGTTTTACAGGATGCTTTAAGACTGTCATTCCCTGACAGTCCAGTAAGGTATTTCATAATAATTTGGTACTTTTGTTTTTTTGATGTTTGCAAATATGGTGTATTACCTTTTAAGTTTATTTTGTTGCCTGCCAGTATTAGAACAAATATCTGCATTTTACTCCTATTTCCATTTAACGCTTCAGATTCCTACGTGATGAAGCTGTTTGACCGCAGCGTTGACCTGGCTCAATTTAGGTCCACGTCCTCCCTGTACCCAGTCTGTCGGGAGTGGATGCTGAACAGGCCAGCTGGCCAGAGATCATCCAGGGACCGCACCCCATCCCCTGAACCGCTGGACGACTCGGACGAGGTAGGTTTGGACCAGGCATTGACACAGTCTGTTCTACTTGTCTTTGTCATTAGTGCTTCCTGCCTCCTCCCATTTTAGGGTGGCATGGGTGGCTTGTGGGTAAAGCGCTCGCCTCTCACCAAGGTGACCACGGTTCGAATCCTGGCCGCGGATCGCATGTGAGTAGAGTTGTGCTTTGGTTCTCTCCTGTGCCACGAGGGTTTTTCTCAGGGCTCTCCGGTTTTCCTCCTTCTGGAAAAATCAAGCACTTTCAATCTCAGGTTGTGCTCCGTGGTCATATGGGTCGATGTGGCCGGCAGCCATAGGCGCCTTTACATGCCAGCGGCCCGACCACACTGTAGCTGCATCCTTCGCAATTCAGCATACCAGCCGCGAGTAAGGATGATTAGCCTCCCAAATTATTATAATTATTATTTCTGACTTGATTAATAAACAGGAGATACCGCTACGTTCTCACTCATGAGAGCCTAATAGTCATGTTCCCGAAACGTGGCGCACTTCGACATTCCCCCAACTTTCCTCATGCAGTGTTGCCAAACTTCTTTGTTGACTAACTTCAAATTCATTCAGTGAAATACTGGTACTTTTACCTTACTAATGCTTGCTATTTAACTTCTGTGAACAATTTCGGTGTCATGAAATTTAATCCGAAATTCAAAATGGTGGCATCTGGATATTGGGCACAAATTGGCTGAGTGTTCCCTGACGAGGCGCGCTTGAATAAATCTCGGCAAATTCCTCATTAACATTTAAGACTTTCTGTAAAGTTGATGAATTCTGATAAACCATCATTATCTTTACTTACATACCCAACTAGAAGTTTGCCAGAAATATATTTCTCTTAGTTGCCAGTAAATTATTTTTCTTAGTTTTGGGGGACATTTTCAAAGAGTTCACTGTGCACTTTGAAATAAACTATTGCAGTTGAAATTTCAAAGCAGCTATACAGTCCACTAAAAGCTTGTTTTCCTTTAAAATTGCATCACACGGCCGCCACTTTGTTTACCGTTTTATAAAATTTAGAAAGGAGATCCGACAACTCTTTGTTGAACATCAGACGACAATTTACTGTACGCAGACTAAATACATAAAACAGTCATCGAGTTGTGCTATAAATATACCTACGACGCGTCAGCTTTGCGAAGTGTTCTGTAAAATGGATCGCAGGACGCGTCGCAGCTGTGACGCATCGTAGGGATACGACGAGTCGCAGCGCTGCGATGCATCTTAAGTTAAGAAAAGTTTCATGAAATCGGCTGCAGAGGCTTTTGGGGCCAACGTTTCTAAATTTTAATGTATCGGCCTGCGCAGGAGGTCAGAAGGTCAAAGTTTATTCTGCTTAAACCTCTTGCTGAAATGTTTAAGTTTCTGTTTCATTTGTAAGCTAGATAATCCATTTTATCTTCAAGGAAACTTGCATCCTCGTTCCTGATTGGTCGATCCCTGGCAAGAACAGTGTGGTATTATCCCATATACCACGGTCCATATCGCGCTCTGAGTATTGCGCTATTCTAAGATGCATACACCTTTCATAATGCGTGCACCAAATAGATAATAGCGGAAAAGTTTGTGTGTTCCATCTTTCATACGTCAAGTTGAGTAAAGATAAATTTGTTATCCCAGGCGCGTTCATCGAACACAGAAAATGTAGTGCGTCAGTGTTTCATATACACAGACGCACTACATTATTCCGTGTTCCACTCGCGCTTGCGGGATAACAAATAATCTCATGTTATGATCAACAATTTAGGTGTTTAACGACATTTTGGTGAAGTACATGTACATGTACATATATCCCTAAAGGGCCTGTCACACTGTCTGCAATCATATATGCGCTCCCACTGCGTCCTTGAAAAATGGCTGGGGCGCAACAACAACTACTAGATCGCAGCGACAACTACATAGGTCGCCTGATGGGCGCCAGAGGGTCTGAATGGTCTCTGATGGGCGCCGAAGTTTTTGAGCATGCTCAAAACAATCGCAACGCCTCTGCGCTCTTGCCAGGACGCCGTAATGACGCAACTCGGGCGCTGTGCGAGCGTGAATCGTGCGACATTGAAGTGGCATTGAGGCAGCCTAGGCGCAAGGCAGTCGATGTAGTCTCCATGAGAAAGTAACTCCACTGCGATGAACTTGTAGAATAAATTTGAAACTGGACTGTGGATTGACCGTTTTGTCGTGTTATTTGTACAGCACAAGTGACGTCACATGAGCGTCTTTTTGTCGAATAGACAGCACGACGCATGCTACTAGGACGTATTAACAGCGAGCAGAGCGCAGTGTGGGCGCAGTGACAGCGCAGCAGCGGCGACTAGATCGAGTAATTGAGCTTGACAGGGGTGCATAGAGAGCGAGTTGAGCGCATCGTAAGTGCGGGATGAGCACAGTATGAGCGTAGCTTGAGCTACTTTCTGGCCACTTGAGACAGAAAATTGTCATGTTCTTGCATCCTCGCTGCGATTGTTAAAATTTATTTAGTATTTTTGGTCGCCGTAAGGTCTCCTATCTGAGCACATATAACGTGACAGGCCCTTTAGCTGTTTAAGTATGTTCTGAATGGAGACATTGTGTTTGAATTTTTCATTCCGTGTGTTTTCCTCTTACAGAATTCCAGCCATTCCAATATTTACCACCTGCCGAGGCCAACCAAGCTGGCATCATATGTCAGGGAGGAGACAGGTCAAGACCCTAGGATACCACTGCCCATGCCAAGTGATGAGAACCTGCAAACATATATAGTAAGTCAAGTGTTGCCTCTCGCACCCTGTTCCCCTGTGTGAGTGAAGTACAGTGACTGCAGCATTGATTGCATGTCAGTCGAGACGGGTCAGGACCCTAGGATACCTCTGCCCATGCCAAATGATGAGAACCTCAGGTACTATGTATATGTGACCGGCTCCACAAAAGAGGGTATTAAGTCCCGCTAAGCATTATTGTGTAAAGGCCTGCTCAACATTGAGAGGGTGAACATTTTGTCAAAATGTGATTTTCATATTTTTTTTTTCATGAATGACATCTTTAGTACCTACAGTTTCAGGTTTCATTCACAGAAATGTAGATTTTGAAAACAACCATTTTGTGTGCATCGTTCTGTTGCTTTACAACAAAGCCAGCTATTTCAAAGCCTGTTTCCTCAGCTGTGTAATTTGAACTCCAAGGAAGTCATTAATATGCAAATACGTCATATCTCTATTACATGTATATACATGTACCAAATAGAAGCTTACATTTAGGGCTTTCCAACCTTGTATATAACTCAATTCCCCTTTTTGCTACATTATACCCTTTTTTGTGAAACCGGTCACATATACTGTAGTGCATCAAGGTAATAACAGCTTTGCTTTTACTGGTCACAGACGAGCCTGCCTAATCTCCTCTTCGTACCTATCTCAGTGACAGACTGACTGTGCCTTGAGAGCCGAAAATGCGAATGAATTGGTTAAATCTGGTCCCTTGAGTAGACCAGTTGCATGCAATGACTTCCAGTGAATAGCCATTGTGAATCAGTTGAACAAATGTTAAATAAAAGTTGTTGTGCTCTGGACCGACTGTTATACATGTAGGTTTGCCTTTTCTTGTTAAGCCCTGTTTTGAACCCTATATTTACTGAACAAAGTACTTTCATCTGGAAAAAAATGAAACAATGTGCTGTGATATTCAAGTTGATGTGAACTCTGTGTACAAGTACCCCCTCAACGGTTTGAGCAAAGACAGTTGGCAGGAACTATAGGCAGTGATGGATCAAGGGGGTGCGGATGGTGTGCACCCCCGCCCCCGGCAGAGACCTGATTTTTAATTTTTTTTTAAATAAGACCATGTTACTTGAGAGAGCCCTTCAGCCCCTCCCGACCCCGCCCACCCACCCCCTAGCCCCCACCCCTGGCACACCCTCCACACCCCAGACTGTAACCTCTCTGGATCCACCTTTGATTAGGGGGAACTCTTGAATGCATTGCCAACAGTTCCTGACATAATCCTGTGGTGCATAGTTTGCATTATTAGTTGGTGAACAGACACATGAAGTAGTGCAGTTGTGTTCCTCCTTCTGCTGTTCATCAGCATGGCGTTTTCAGCGGATGCCGTTTTTAGTGGAAACATGAACTACAGCCATACCAATGTTTTCTTACACTTGATCATTGGACTTGTCTCCACACAGGACTCCAATCAAGCACCTTCCAAAGAGGAGCTACTGAAGAAAAACATGGACAGATGGAAGAAGATCAGAACAGCGTGAGTTTCAACCATAGAGCTATATCAGATTACTAGAGCGCTAACTCGATGTACAAAGTAATGCCTGATGGGCACATCCATGTTTGTACACAAACCTATGGAGATTTCGAAATTTTGTACGGTTTTTGTACGGCTATTTGCATATCTGCATTTGTATTCCATACCGTGCATCATCGAAGCCGATACGCCCAAAACCGAAACGCACGATCAGCAGATGAGCGTGTCATTTTGCTCTATACGCAAACAGAGCAACGCGTGCGCATATTCGCTGCAGATGATTAACCGTGACTTTTTTTTGTAAACCGTATGACGCGCTTTCTTGTTTGCGTACGTTCTACTTGCGCGTTGCATTTAGAGTACACTTTCAAAATTTAATCCATCTATTTTTATTACGTTCTACAAACACGCACATGAATTCAAAATGTCTGCACCCAGGACGGCTTCAAAGCGTCTCCGCGCGCAAGAATGAGGAGTTAGCGCTCTAGTAATTTAATATAGCTCTATGGGTATAACCCCTTCCAGAGCCTTCAAAGTCCTGTAACTGTTGTCACATTAGCTGAAAAATCCATATTCAGGCTGCCTCTTTTCCGATCCAAATCCTGGACGTTAGTGGTGTGCATTTGCTGGCAGAATGGGAACCAGGTACCTGTAGAAGGAACCCAACCCCAAAGTTCAAATCCCTGAAGTTGCTTTTCAGATTGTTCAAAAAGGTGCGCACGATGACACTACCACATCGGTGCATTAATGCAGCAAGATATAAGTGTGTACAGTGCGGGCTAAAGAATTTGCAACTTTAAAATGCACAAACCTGTTTCGGTTTTCAATGTAGCCTGGTTTTCATTTTGAAAATTCCCCACAAATGCCATTCAAAACCTTTCTTTTTCATTGTCTGAGAACTTACTAAGTACATTTGTTAAATTGGTTAAGGGTACCCAATTCCATACTCTGTTCATGACACCAGTGGTCAGGTACTTTGGTACCCGGTTGGCAGAATGTACATGTAAGGTACATGTACATGTGGGGCGCTGTGGTCCAATGGTTACGGTGTTCGACTCGTGTGCCGTGGTACACGGGTTCGAATCCTGACCGTGGGAACATGGTGCTTGTGCTCTTGAGCAAGGCACTTTACCATTATTGCTTCGTCCTTCGGATGGGACGTAAAGCCGTAGGTCCCGTGTGTTGTGTAATGCACGTTAAAGAACCCAGTAACACTTGTCGTTAAGAGAAGGGGTTTGCCCCGGTGTTTCTGGCAGTGGCAGCACTTATGCGCCGCAGCACCTAGCAAAAAGGTGCTGCATTTTACCCGGCTTTGGTTGCATTCTCCCCCAGTGTTTGTATCCTCTGGCAAAAAGCGCTATATAAATACAGTTATTATTATTAGTATTATTACATGTAGAATGTAAGGTACTTTTGTTGAGTACCTTTGGCCATCTCATATTTTGTTACCCACTTCAAAGTGCATCAACGTTCAGTACCAGTTTACATGACAAACTACAGATGAATAATATTGGTTTCATCTTCATTGATCTTTAATGTACACAGGTGGAAGTCCAGTGCCCAGTACAACCAGGCCCGTTACAACGAGAGTTACGCCATTCTGAAGACTATGTATGAAAGACAATAGCCCCTCAAGCGCCCAGACTGCATCATGGGACCATTGAGCTCACGGATGTGTGTTCATATGAGCTACTGGTATCAAATAGCATCACTGTAAATGTCCATCATGATGTCACCAGCAGTGGGCGCATGTGTGACCTCTGACATAGGGCTGACCTGGGGTCAAGTGCTGGTTCCCATATGTACTTGTTATGCACCTAGATGCCTCGCAGGAATAAAACAATTGTTTGAGAAATATGTTTCTGATTGACATCACAGTTCACAACAGGAGTGGATTATTAGCACTTGTGCGCATCCAAAAACTCTGTGCTTGTTTTTTTTTATGATGAACATAGTATAGACTGCCACATTTGTTTACAGATTTGCATGTTGAATTAGCTTTGAATTAGGAGTGCACACGGGAGGTATGCTAGGAATGTCTAGGGTCCAGGTGCCAAAATTCCCAAGACTGTGTTTGATGCATCTTGTTGATAGTCCACTCTACTGCTGCGGAAACTTGACGGTGATAAATTACCCAGGATTGGGACTTCGCCACACCCACGGCCCTAAACATAGTGCTGGGAAGGGCTAATATCCTGCCCAAAATTTTTTTTGAACCGAGAGGATTTCTCGCGATTCAAACTCATGGCACTACCAACTGAGCTATCAGACTGCTCGACAAATCCTGGAAATTGATGGTATATATACCTGCACACTATCATAAAAGTACCATCATAAAGGCACTCAACAACCATGTAATGCGGATGTTATTTGGAAAAAATTAATTCGCCCCAAGGGGAGGGGGACAACATTGTAATCCAATCTTGGACCAAGCCAGTGTCTGAATCTTGTGTGTTCTGGCCAGAAATGTGACCTTTTTTGGCAGAAAAAAAAGGACAAAGTCGAGATTCACTGACGGAGCATGGCCCAGCTCATCTCACGAGAGAAGCTTTTCATGTACATGTATTTTGTGATTTTTTTAAATTTAACACACTTCTGCTTGTACTTTTCATATAAGTTTGTGTGTCTTTTTCTATCAAGAATTACTTAGATGTGTGACAATAAAAGACAGCCAGAGAACATGTTGAACTTGCACAAGCTTTGCAGTTTATTTTGCAGTGCTCTTTAGATGCTACGTACATTGAATGTTACAGTTTTACATGATCATCTGACACAGTTCTAGTGAAATTGTGGTGATTCTTTTGAACGATACGCGATTTCTACGCTACGCAGTCTGTTTGAAATGTGAATTCTATTTGCCATGACCTTTCAAGCTCCTTTCAAAGGATTTTTGAAGATTTAGCTGGAACGAAAAGGTGTAGCCCAACCACTGTTGTAGGTGGGACTCTATGCCTTTAAAAGTATAAAGACAAATAAATTGTCATTTTTTTCTGTGGAGCATTCAAAATCAAATGAGGAGTTAGGGTTCATCATTCAACTGATATGCAGATTGGTTGACCCATCTGTTTGACATATCAACAGCTAAACATTTAGATGCTTGTGTTTAGCTACATACGTGTACCAGATCCATTGACTGCATTTGCACCAACGGTTGGTGATTCATTGCTGGATTTATGATTTATCTCTAATTCATTCACCTGGTGATTATTTATTATGGGCGACTTTACTTTTGTTGTTTAACAGATGCCCTCAGTCCTTAACCTATGGAATATCCCCTTGCAACAGCAGGGGTCTATGATATGCGAGCAGATTTGGCGATTAATTATGCAAAGCAAGACTGCGTCTTGACCTCGAGATTCTGACCATTCATCAGCGGGTGTTATTTTTACATGTATATAAACATGACAGCCAAATTAACCAATCAACAGCCAAGTCCACATTTCTGATCGAAACGACATCACGGTTTCTAAAGTCGACTCCGACTGGCTGACGCGGGGTCGCATAACATTTGCACGCTGGGATTTATCAGACGTTCGGCCATGTGGCTCTGCACGCGTCAATGTCTGATCCCCAGACTACAGTCTTCTCGATTAGGTCATTGCATAATCTGGATTAGGGCCACTCGAACTGTGCCTGATGATCTGCTCCTAAAGACCATTATCATGTTGCGGCCATCTTGATTTTTTTCCCATTCAAATAAACCAAAGTGAGACTAGAAGGTAAAATAGTCTGGTTCCTCTTTGCACAAAACAAATTATCATTCAGTATTGTTATTGGATACAGGGAACATGACTGAAATGGTGGCAGCATGATAAAGGTCTAATTGGATGTACTTTTGTTCAAATAACAGATACTTTCAAGGTTGAACTAAAAGACATTTGTAATAATTGTAAATACACTGATAACTAAGAATTTGAAATAGTGTGGAGGGGACTGCTTCTATCATTGCTATTGGAATTCCATGGAAAACAATCTAGCACAAACTCATCACAAAGGATATTATGACAAAACATTACAAAATTTGATGTACAAAATGTACCTTTTGCCCGACAAAACATTACATTACCTATTAAAAACGTGGCTTTTTACGGCATAAGAGGAGTTCACAAAATGTCCAAACCTTCACAAGCCAATTGCTTAAAATACAAAAGTTTTTCATGCAAAAAGTAGTCTTCTTTTTTTTTTAATTGCACCATTGTGAAAGACCTCTATTTCCGCTGGACAGTGAACCGCATACATTCATACAACCTTAACAATTAGCAACGTGCATTACATTTAAGGTATATTTTCTGAAAATCTGCTTATGAAGTACAAAAATTGCACCATTCGATCGAAGGCGTTATGCTTTTGAAGCTATAGCATTTAAACGTACATCGATAGGGAAAAATACAGCTGACAATCAATACAAATGTATAAAAATGGGGTTTTTTTCTTCAAAATTGTAATCACGTGGTACAAAAACGAACGGCCATTGCAGAGCTCACCTAGCTATTCACTAATTGTCTATTTTATAGACCAAAATGGACAGTCATGGTTATTGCACATCTTTTTGTAGGATTTGTGTATACATGAAAAAATACGCACAAATCCTGGCATACGCATGGGCGTCGCCAGAATTTTTTCTAGAGAGGGGGGGGGGGGGGGCAAAGCACATTCACCCCCAGAACTCCCTGTTCTGTTCCAGCATATTCTCGATTTATCGTTTTCGAGGATGGGCAGGGACAATGCCTCCCCCCTCCTCAACCCATTAAATTAACGGCAATATGACTTATCGCCTATTTTTCTTTCTCTTGTTCCCCTTTGTTTCTCTCTTTTTTTCCGGGGGAGGTGAAGCTCCCCCCCCCCCCCCCTCGCGACGCCCATGGGCATACAAGTTTAATGCGCATATTGCGCTGCCCCACCCAAGACGTGGAGATTGTCACTTTTGAAGTGACAAAATCCCCACCCCTGTGCCAAAATTTAAGTGACTATCTCCGATATAGACATGTGGGGCCCACTAGTGATTGCCTTTCCATGTAGTTCGCTAATGTTAACAATGTTTTTGAGTGACCAAAATCCCCACCCTGGGGCACAAAAAACGTGAAAAACAGATCGGCATTGTGTTCACATAGAAAAACAACTGATTGGATTTTCTGAATAAAATTATACACATGTACTTGAAGAATTTGAATTGCGTTGCAGTATAGGAAAAGCCTTTGAAATGTTATCTTTTTTTAATTCAGTGAAAAGTGGGGTCTGTTCTTTGACGAAAGCACACTAAACAGTCACTTTCACAGTGCTGTCACAATCTTGGAGGGGATTGGCGCCATTAGGATTACAGTCATCTGTTAAATTCAAGTTAATACACCATTGGGATATAAGCGGTTTAATTTAATTTAAGTTTAATACTTCTTGAAGTTGAGTCGATTGCTCGTAGCCCTATTATCCCAATCCAATTTGGACGTGATGCTATCTAATAACTCGTCGAGACCCCATTGCATTCCACTTCTTTCTATTTTCATTGCATGAACTTTTACTTCTCATCTCAAAAACTGCTTAAGTGGATGACCGATAACTGATTATCATTGATAATTCATTCATTAAAGAGTAGATACTCTTTCTATTTAATGATATCATTATTTAACAAATGCAGGCGATTTCTTTTTTACTTTGTTTCCGCCTTCGCCCCTAACTTTCCTCGCTGATTACTAGATGATTGAAGCTGTACATCTAAAGCTACCTCTTAATATTTACATCTCAGATAATCTTACCTTTTTAATAATTGAACGCAATTATAAAGTTTAATTTAGCAATTTTATCAGTTCATTTCCATGCAGAAATATTCAAAATTTTGCGTAACATTATTGCGTTAAACAATACTTGGGCAAAGTTCTGGCTATTAACGATGTTTGCTTTCCTTCCCCCTTCTTTGACCGTTAGATTTGACAAGCGTTAGATTAACAACAACTTTGCACAGCTTAGAAAAACCCTCATCATATGTTTTAATCTACCGAATTAGATGAACTTTTTAACCATTTTTCGTAGACTTCCCTATAATAATGCAGCATTGTAGTGTGCATTCAAAACAATGTTTGAATGTAAACGTCGTCGGAACAACGTGACATACAGCAATATGCGTTAACACCATTATATACAAAAAGACATGGCACATAACACGACCACTCCAACTCAAGCCGTATACCTGTACTGATTAAAATGAACTTCTAATGACATTTATATAATCTTTTACAGCTATAAACAAATGACAGTTCGTATCACCAAACCAATCCATCTTAATGACTACGCAATGTAGCTGTCGTATTGTGACAATTATTATTACTTATTCAAACAAATCTACTTTCAAAACAATGCTTAAAGTTCCTTATAACGCATCCAACATGAAAATTAATTCGCATATTGAAGTTCTGGTATTTCGTAATCGTCAGGCGCCAGTGATAGCGGTACCGAATCCCTTCACTCGGTACATACTTGCAACAAATCAGCGACAATTAACAACTCTGCACACTATACACTAGTTTGTTGATGTTCTATTAATTAACAGTTAACAGTGTAGGATTTGATTTGACCGGTTCAACATTCAAAAGTGACCAGTCAAACTTCGGAACAACTTTTTTTGCAGTCGCTACAAGCGCAATACAACGGAAATATCTACTGCAAATTCGACCTACCTGGGCGTGGTACATATTGCTTGAAATAAACGAGCAGTGTTATTATTTTTTTTTTTTTACTAATTAGCGAATTTATCCAGTGCCCTCCTCCAGAGAGAGGGGGGGGGGGGGGGGGGGGGTTAAGACCCCATCCTTCCCGCATTCAGACCTCCAGTGTTGGACTATCACCGTTACCAGTACACATCATGTCTTCCACTTCATCCGACGACTGTTGCAGTGCTGCACGGCACACCTTCTTGGCAGTGCTGTCGGACCGACAGAGGTCCGTGCTCAGTCTCAGGCCCCGCGCCGACGGTGATGATGACGCGTCGGCCGGGGCGGTCGATGAAGATGACCGGCGCTGCATCAGGGGGCTGTTGGGGGTGGACTGGGTGCCGCGGAGATTGGACCTCGGGCCGCCCAGTCGCAGGAGGTCGTGGTGCATCAGTTGCTTGTGTAGGAAGTTCAGAAAGTTTCTGACCTCGTTTTCTAAGCAAAGAGAAAATACAGTCATGTATAATCATGTCAAGTTTCAATAGCATTTCTCATTATGGAGAGGGGGAGGAGGTGGGGCACACCATGGAGCTGCTAAGCACAAAAATTTGCTTAGCATGAAAATTCTTCCTTGGCAAAAACAGGATTACCAACCAAATGCATGTGGTGTATTGCTTGTGATTGGTATTCAGCTGTTGTTTGCTTAGCTTAGAATGAAAATCACATGGAGTTTGCAACCTGCTTTTACTAAGCCAAACCTTTTTGTGTGCTAAGCAAATTGTTGTGTTAGCAGCTCCATGCATGAAATTGGCCCCTGGCCACACTGGGACCTTGTCAACCTTGTGACATCCGCTCAGCATTCCGAACGCAACGGGATGACAAAATACCTCGCCTCCTATATCGCCTCAATTATATCCACTGGCCCTCCCTTTTTACAGTGTGGCCTAGTAGTTTAATAGGGTCGTGGCTCATGATCAGAGGGTCAGGGTTCGAATCCAGCCGCTGGTCATAATTTGTGTCCTTGGACAAGCCACTTCAGCCCCTTTTGCCTCTCTCCACCTCAAATGGGTACCGGCATTAGCTTGGGAAAAAAGCTCTTACCCGAATCCGATCGGTAGTTATCCTGAAGACACACTTCCAACGTGTCCATCAGCATCTTACCAGCTGAACGGCGGGATAGATTCTGGGATGGAAATCAGAAAGAGAGAGAAAAAAGAACGTTTTGGATGAAAATTGACTTGCACACTAATTAGTTGATCCCTTTGCTAAATAGTAACGGAACCGCACCCAATCTCAGGGTATCGGTTTTTTTCTCTCTCGTGGAGGAGGAATTAAGTAGCTCGACTTACTCTCCGTTTCGATGGGAGGAAGTGGCCAAGACGCGATCGGCTCAGCCTACCGCGTACCGTCATCGCACACTGAGTGTATGTATAGAAAGCAGTGGGAGTTCTGTGTGAAACACCTAATAGAATATTTCGGATATTGAATATTGGGAGGGAAGTACAGGTATACTTTTCTCTCTTCAGGACTTTAAGGCGGGGGGGGAGGGGGGGGGTTCCGTGCCCCGCGGGTCCCCCCCCCCTTTAAAATCTTTAATTGCACAAAAACAACATACAATTGCCTTCAGTGCCCCCTTGAAAATGTCATGGTGCACTCCCGCACTCACACGTGGTAGTTACTGAAAGACGACTTTGAACCCGTGCCGATTGTTGAATAATTACATGTACAGCTTAGTAATCATTAGTCATACAGTAACGGGTGGCTTTTCCTTTCTATTCCTTGGGAAAACAATAGCCACCTACCTATCAAAGTCTGATGTAAGCATGGGCCGTTGACATCAATAGTCGGGAATTGAAAACAGCCCAAATAGCGTTTGATTTAGTTGTGTTTATTCTTTTTTTTTTTTGGATGATGGGTGATATGGACAAGAATGATGTTTGGTATGGATGAATAATAAGTAAAGCGGCGTGCGGCATTTCCACTGTGCATATGTACATGTACCCCTGTGCATCCCAAACATGGAACACGTGAGCAGCTGTTTCGCGGAGGATTTGCCAAAATCATTCAAGAACTAGAGAGGGCGCACTACTAGACTCGCGCCAATTTACGCGGATGGTGCATGGGGATGAACATGGTGATGGCGCATGTCATCGCGTGTAAGTGTTGTTTTGGTAGAAATCGACCTAAAGATGACGATCTAGAACGTATGCAGGTAAGATCTCATTCGATGTTGCTCATGTTGCTATGGAAACGTCATGAACAATTTAAGTGACATTTATGAAGTACTCAATTGGCCCTTAATAAAAAGGATATGCCGACCTGGCCGAGTGTCCGGAAATTGGGCACAGTCAATAGGCCGAGCAAGTTCAGTAAACCATGGAGGAAGGAACAAGGTCTCTACATACATGTAAGCTAGGTCTCCACATCAATCGCCTAATCCAAGTAACTACTCCTAGAACTATGAGAACCCCGCAAAATCGTTTGCAGCACAAAACAGCAACTAACAACAAAAACATCCGGCCCATAGGCATCAAAACACAGACATTTCCCACAGAACCACTGCCCAGTTTGCCCTAAACAATACCTCATGACATACTCACGTAAGTTGCGCCTAATAAACATGCAGATATTATCGATTGATGATTTTCGATTCGCTCGGCGCGCGCCGCGGGGGGTACGGTACTTGCACTTGTACGCATGCGCATACTATCATTTCGCTTGTACCGTACCCCCCACGGCGCACACAGAAGAATGATCGATTTGCAGGTTTCAAGTGTCAGGTTGGCTCAGTGCGGAAAGGGCATATTTTTCATCATTTTGGCCTAAAAAATTGACAGAATCCACCGATGTTTGTTAGGCGCAACTTACGTGAGTATGTCAAGAGGTTTAGTACGGAGTTTAAGGCAAACTGTGCAGTGGTTCTGTGGGAAATGTCTGTGTTTTGATGGACGTTTTTGTACTCAGTTGGTGTTTTGTGCTGCAAACAATTTTGCGGGGTTCTGTGTCTATGAGGCTCTGCTCACACGGAGCATCATAGTTCTAGGAGTACCAAGTAACAATATTATCTGTATTGTGAATCGTTCATGTTATCACATTATCCATGATATCCATCATGTCCATCATTTTGTCCATGAAACTAAAACTATTGCATCTGATCATATGTTTTGCCCGCAAAGGATGTTCTACCCGACGAGTACCTCCACAATGTCTGCTCATTTCAGGAGGAGACGATGCCCGGTGGTTGGTCTGCTGAACTCCGACTGGCCGTGTCCACGGAAGATGGGGCCATGCAGTGGCTGGCCCGCTACCAAGAAAAGTCGATGACGGTCATGCGGGTGAATAAAACCTTTGGGTGGGACGTGCAGTCTCCACGCTCAAATCTGTTCAAGGTACAGTGACAAGAATTTTCTGCGTTGTTTTGTTTGTTTGTTTGTTTTGTTCAGCTGTAAAACAGTACATTGGTGATGCTACGCCCAGATACATACATGTATAGCATTGTTCGGTTACACCTCTATGTTCTGACACCCCTATGTTCCGACTGCACATATTCCTATTCCTAACCCTAACCCTAACCCTAACCCTAACCGGAAGTACACAGTCTTGCGGGTTGTCGGAACATAGGGGTGTCGGAACATAGAGCAGTCACCGCATTGTTCAACTATAGCTGAGAGGTCGTCCCAACTACATGTATTGTTTGGACCGTCTCAAGTACTATATGTTGGGGCAATTGCTATAGTAACAGTGACACCCAGTTGTATGATAGGCCTAGGTTTTGCTAGGGAGGGTTTTAAAGCTATAGTCCATCATTTGTAATTAATGCATTTTGTTCGTTTGAAGCAACAAAAGTGTTCAAAATCTAATAAAGGATACTGAGCAACTAACCTGATGAAGTTTCAGCTAAGCTTCAGCTGTACATTCCGAGAAAAACAGCATTCTAAGATCTCAATTTCAAATCAAAAGTTACTGAATCATGTTTTGAATTGTTTTGTAATTGCAGCTATACGCGGCGTCGCGCACTGATCCGACGAATTATAACAACCGCGCGCGCGTGTGCGTCGTTCCAATACTTGTGCGCGCTGCGCTGAATAACAAAACGAACTACTAATTTAAATTTCCTACGGTGCTTCTTAAGAATCACCGTTGGAAATGCCTTCTTTCGTTGATTACTTCAAAATGACAGCTTCCCAGAAAGAATAATTTCACAGGGAGTTTAGTTCCCTTACTATCTTTCAACCAAGTTTGTTTTTCAACAGTAATTACGCCAGTTACTTTTCGGATGGCTGCAAATGATGGACTATAGCTTTAAAGTTAGGCAATTTGGATAAAAAAATAATAACCATGGATAGTGAAAACAAGAAATTGAATTGTATAAATAGACATTGTTTCAAGTATTTCTGTAGGCTTTGCCCAAACTAGTCAGACTGAAACGTCGATAGCATCATGGATGATAACTGCATAATGTGTTTCCAGCAGTATATTCTTGACCTGTGTATTGAAGTGCTCTTTTTTACATTGCAGAAATCCTACAGATGCCACCATAGCACCAGAAGCCAAGTAAGAAAAAAGAACTTGAAGGGCACAGACTGCCTGAGCTGTATGACTATCACCGTCAAGAAAGTAGCGAAGCTTGCTCGGAAAAGCAGGTACGTAACTTCACATTGGAAAACTGGAATGTTTTGCAGAACATGTGAATGTGGAAGACATCATGACAGAGTTGTAACGAGTCACTGATTTTTGTGACTCGAGTCGAGTCGAGTCATTTTAAAGAAGTGACTCGAGTCGAGTCGAGTCATTAGGTCAACAAGGTCGAGTCGAGTCGAGTCGAGTCACAGAGTGTGGTCGAGTCGAGTCTTATTAGCCTTCCTCGAGTCAAGTCGAGTCATTCTGATGAGGGACTTGAGTCGAGTCGAGTCATTTGCTCGCAGTGACTCGAGTCGAGTCGAGTCATTTACCCGTCGGGACTCGAGTCGAGTCGAGTCGCCAAAAAATGTGACTCGAGTCGGACTCGAGTCGAGTCATTGACTCGAGTCATTGCAACTCTGCATCATGAAATCAGGCAATGCTTCCAATTTAGTGAATTTGCTAGTGAGGATTACCAGGGATGAACAACAAAAGTTAATACTATCATTACTATGCATATTGTACATGTAGAATTGTAGATTGCAATGGTCTAGTGGTTACAGTGTGTGACTCATATACGATGGTGCGTGGGTTCGTACCCTACAAGGCACATAGCGTTTGTGCCCTTGGGCAAGACACTTAAACTACAAAATGCCTTGCTCCACCTAGGAGTATGAATGGGTACCTATGAGGGTAGAGGACCAAATGTGTGCTGATATGGGCTGTTACATGGTCTCGTGGCCTGATGAACGGGAGAATAAGTGTAAAGCCCTTTGAGGTTGTTGTTACGATGGAAAGAGCATTACAACTTATTTTTATGTACTAATACTACATGAATAGTCTGATAGTTTAGTAACGTGTCATCTGCTTTAACCCTAACTCCCTAGCGTCTTTTATTAGGAACTGGACCTAGCCCATCAAAATCCATCAATCACTGTGCTTCCAATACAAAACTACACATGACATAATGGAATCCACCAATGATGCACTGGTTGACATTCATGGACTTGCTACACATGGCTTTTATCACAATAGCAGTACAGGAACCTAGGCAAAATCAATCAGATACCCTAGCACTGCTGCAGGCCATTAGGCCCAAGTCCATCGTACTTTATCAATATTCAGTCACGCCAGGCCTCCTGGACCAAGTCCCCAAAATTCCACCAAAATGGGGGTGATGGATTTTGATGGAGTTGGGATGGTTAGGGTTAAGATTGTTTTCGTGTGGGTTCACTACTTATAATGCTGTGTCTCTTTTTCTTTACGTAGATCAACAGATCCACATATTACAGCCTACCCTATGCGGGTGTGTCTTCGCTACAATCACAACCATCCCGTGAAGGCCAGCTCCGCGCTGCGGTTCCGTGACGTTCTGCCCAGCATTGGGGAGAAGTTCAAGGGCTTGTACCGGCTCGGCTACAGTCCCATTTCCGCAATGGATGTCCACAGGATGGATCTGCTGTTAGAGTACGGCTCCGGCTACTTGCACATTAGCGGTGACAGGGCCCAGGTCCCCGATGATCAGTGGTGTCGTAGGCAAGTACATGTACATTCAATATTAAACAATTGTGAGATATGCCATTGTTAACACCCAAGGTGCACAGAGCACCAGAGGGGAAGCCAAGGGTTTTGTGCGCCTGGAGGGGTAAAAAAAAAACAATGTTTCACACGTCACAGCAGTCAACAGTTGTTTGTTATATCATGATAACTCGTCACCGGTTTCACGAAGGGACGGGCATGTGGATTTTGAAGAAAAACCGTTTTCAAGATAATCGCCAGAGAAGTTTCTTCATTTTTAAAATAGCAAAAACTACTACTTTACAACAACTTTATGCAGTAAGGAAACTTTGACGTAATTCTTTGATAGGTAAACTTTAATTTGAACCCAGTAATTATAATTAATACAGTGGTTCATTAGCCAAAATTACTTAGTAAAGATGCCCGTCCCTTCGTGAAAACGAAAATCCAACTGTTCCACATTTACACCCTTCTTGTTGAATGTGCTTTTCCATAGGGAAAGCTGGGCGTGTTCCATTGCGCACGCGCAGCTGAGAATGTAACAAAGATGCCCGTCCCTTCATGAAAACAAAAATCTCCATTGACCTACTTTTACCGCCTTTCCGTGCAATACATTTTGTACGTGTTCACGGGGGCATGCAATGTTCGCGTCTCTTCGTGAAATCGCAAAATGCAACTGTCGAGATAACCGCCCCTGACGTCAGTAATGTTATTCAGGAATTAATGATGTTTTGTTTACGGAAACATGTCAGAACGCCTAAGTACCATGTTTTAAAGCAAAATAGTGAAAAAAATCGAAATCGAAAAAAATGTCAATTTTGACATGCCCGTCACTTTGTGAAACTGGTGACGAACTGTGAGCCTTACTGTCAGAAATGAGATTAACCCTAACTCCCCAGCCTAATTTACTAGGAACCATACCCATTCACGCAAATTCCAACACCCACATGGGAAATTGTACACACACACTGTTGGACTTAGTTTCTGGAGGTATGTCAACCCCAGTGTAAAAGACCATCTGTTTAGGGGAACTGTACCTATCCCAACAGATTTAAACACAAACCTGCTGTTGAACTTTGATGGGTTGTGTTCGGTTAGGGTTAAGAGGTTGCAGTTGTACATGTACATAGGTTGCGAGGCGCACAGGCCCTACACACAATCCTCCACACTCGTGCAGTTATGCAGTGTATATGAGATACTTTATGCAACACGGTGTACATTGAATATGAGGCAATTTCTATGCAACGCAGTGTATATGAAATAAACCGTCAGTTTTATAAACTGACTCATTTCCGTTCTAGACTGCTAGGCCAATGAAATTACAAGATCCAAGACACCATATAACAAATTACATTGTTAAACATTGAACAGATGCTTGATGTGGATGCACACATTGTGTTTCATTGTCCTTGTCTTGACAAATGATCCTTATGGATGTAACTACTTAATACTGCGACATATCTCTTCTGAAATCTGAACACTCACAACAAGTTTGTTTCCTTAGATTAAGACATACTCCATTCTTGTTCCCCATACAAGGAAAAAAAATACATTCCAGAACATCCATGGTTGTCAACTTGCCTTTGTTGGAAAGTGTATACTGCTTAACCCTTAGTCTTTATTGGTGAGGACTAAGGGACTAATATTCTATAATCAGTGATAAAGACAGCAATTATTGAGTTGTAACTAAAGAGATAATGTCCTGTCGGTAGGTTAGCCTTGTGTAAAGACGGCAATGTCCATTGTAAAGACTTAAGAAACACAGATTGTCAAAAGAGAACACTGTCAAATCATGTTCAGTTCAAATGAGAGGAGCTGCCTGCAAGTGTAATATGAGAAGTATTCAAAAGGAAGCCTCAGGAAAGATATTTGAAAATACATGTATATAAAACAGGTATTCCTAGCAAATGAATTATATTCCTTTTCGGTTTTTTTTCTAGGCTGCACAAGAAGATTACAGCAGCTGAAAAAGAAACAGGTGGAAGAAATCTCTTGGTAGATTTAGTGGCACGGATGGAATCCGAAAACGCTGGAGACGAAAGAGTGATGGATGTACACGTAACAGAAGAGAACCAGGTCCTGGTAGCAATCTGCTCAAAGTTAATGAAGAGGGTCATCAACAATGTTCCAGAGGGTCACGAGGTGGTCATCGTCGATAGATGTGGTACAGGGGATCGGGACAATCTGAAGGTGTACCTCCTTCTGACACACTCTGGTGTCGGCGGGTTGCCTGTCGGCTGTCTGATCACGACGTCCGAAAGCACCTCTGCAGTCAAAGCAGCACTAGAGATGTACAAGAACTTAATACCCTGCGGTGCATTCAACAATGGGTCAGGGCCGAAGATTATCATGACCGAGGATTGCGAAGCTCTCCGGAATGCCCTCAGTGAGGTTTTCCCCGAGTCAGTCATGCTTCTGTGCATCTTCCACATGTTGCAGTCGGCCTGGAGATGGCTAAGGGACAGAAAAAAGAAGATCGAGAAACAGGACAGGCCGGAGTTGTTTAGTGTCCTGAAATCATTGCTCCACTGTCAGTCCGTGCCAGACATGGAGCTCCATTACCAGAAAGCCATGCAAAATGCCATTGTCCAGAAGTACAGGCAGTTCTCCGCCTATCTGTTGGAATGGTACAATAAGACGGATTGTTGGGCATTGTGCTGTAGACAAGATTTGCAGCTCCAAGGTAGCTACACCCATGATTTCAGTGAGATAACCACCAGGGTGATCAAGGAGCTGGTCCTGAATCGAGTGAAGGTGCACAATTACGTCCAGCTTGCTGACTTTGTCATGGGCAGAATGGAGAGATACTATGAGAGAAGGATACTAGATGTCGTCAACGGTTCCTTTGACAGTGTCCGGTATTCAAGATACCTCCCACAGGAACCGAACGAAGACCTGAATATCAAGCAGACTTCAGAGTGCACGTTCACAGTTGGAATCCCCTCCAAGCCAGACTCTGACAACATTGTTAACACCCTACTGGGTCACTGCACCTGCACGTCAATTTCAGCAGAAGCCTGTAAGCACCTGAATGCAGTGTCTATGAAGTACAATGTTCAGGTCGGTAACATTATCCCAATTAGCAACACTGCCGACAAGGCGAGGTTCTACTACATAGCTACGGGCAGCAACAGCTTGCCTGAGAGGCTCCAACCTCTTGTCCGTGACATTGCCAACACGGTTGAAGCGCCAGACAATTCCCCAGCACCAAACAGAGACCACGAGGGCTACCATAACAAGTTAGGACCCTCTGAGTCCGAGACACAAGCTGCACCCTTGGTTGGAGGTGCCGCTGCTGACGACAATGTCAAAATGCGTCCAGAGGTGCAGAGGTCCGTAATCAAGAGTCTGGCAGAACACCTTCAAGAAGACTTTGTCTCTGTATTGCGAGAGAAGATGACGAGGTACCCAGATTCGTACATCCCAGCGGTGAAGGTGTTCCTCGGTAACATTAAGAAACTCAAGACAGATTCCCAAGTTGTGACAAGCCTCGTTTCGTTTGGCTCCAGCAGCGGGACCGGAACCGGAAGCAGACCTCAGCAGCCTGGGCAAAAACGGATGGGTGCTAAACCAACAGATCACACCACTCCACACAAAACTAGGAAATTAGAAGAGACAGTTTGCCATCAAAGTGGAAGCCCTGCCACACCGGTAGAGCCCACTCAGTCCAGTGGGCCAGAAGACGGCTGCAGTGAAATCCAACAGCAGGAGTGAGCTTAGCACCAGCTGACATTTACACAACTTCCCAAAACAAAACAACTGAAAGTCAAAAACCACATTATGCGCAAAATGTTACTTTAGGTAAAAAGGCATTCGGCTAGAAAGATCATAAGGATACTCTTTGCATTGTTATCTGTCATTATTCATGTACCTTACATACATGTACCCAGTCCTTCTGATTTGAGGCGTGCGATCACACCCCAACACCATCGCACACCTAAAAGCTTCCCGAGAGGTGTGAATAATTGCACGCCTGAATTTCCCTGGACCACAGATCACACACCGAGAAAACCACACACCTAGAAAAAAAACACACCTCGAAAAATCCAGGTGTGCCTTTTTCCACACGCCTGTGATTTTCAAATCAGAAGGACTGATGTACCCTTCCGAATCCAGCAAAATGCAATCCAAGGTTTTGCAGTGCCTTGAACGATTCAGGAGTTTTGAGCCCAGCCCCCAATCACATGTACTGTTTTGCATAGGGATTGATGTCACATGGTGTATGATATATTCGTTGGAATTCGGTGGATGTACATGTACAGTTATATTACTGTAATAAAGAAACAGTGGAGAAACAGACTTAAACAAGACTTTTGTCATACTACATAGGCACTTTAAACGATGTGAATTTCGCGGATTTTCCCTGGCATATTCTGCCAGCCTTTTTCTCTCATTTCTTCAGACATTGCCTCCGCACTTAACGCCTCTGCTACAATGTGTGCACTACTTGTGAACAATCCTTGTTCTTATGATTAGAGAGAATTAAAATGATTTAATAAGACAAAGGATGGAATTACACAAATGAGCTGGACAAGCTGCAGTTAAATTTTAATATTGTAACTTTGTAAGTGCACAGGTCTATTGAGTTCAGCACGTTTTGCTGTAACGCTGTCTCACACCTAGTACATGTACTTGTAGACTGGGCCGTGCATGTAGGCCCTACTGTACGCGTATAAACGACCCTCCAATCAACCCCAAGTCAACGGGGACACGGCATCGATCTGCCCGCTGGCACGACAGCGGACGAGGGACACTCGTGCTCGGTCAAGGACCTGAGGGCTTACCCAAAACACTTACCAGCACAAAATAAACAAAATGTGTTGATGTACAGCATCTTAGATATGGATTTTTTTCCGGGATGTCACTGTCCACTAGTAAAAACAAATCGACACCAGGGGAATTTGGTGACAGGATTTGACTGTTTTAAATGTCCGTTTAGGTCTACATTATTGGTTTTTTTTTATATTACCATTAGAGTTTTTTTTTATCATGCCAGGCAAGGTTCAACGCGCAGCGTAATCTAAAACCATGATTTTTTTTTGAATTTGGAGGATAGAATTGCTTCGAAGATGTAGTTTGTACAGATTAATCATCATAAAATCGCAATCATTGATTTACCCTAACTCCCAAGGCATTTTTAGGATGCAACCTCAATCCTGAAAAATCCTCCAACTGCCTCCATGTAAAAATTGACATGCATGCAGCGTCAGTCCTGCAAAATCCTCCCATATTACTTGAATGTGGTCCTTGGAAGGTTAACCACTTCCTTAATCCTGCAAAATCCTTCAGCAATCACTGACAATACCGGTATGTTGAGCAAGTTGAGGCAGAGCCAGTGACATCCCGAAGCAGTGCGGAGGATTTCAAGTATAATTTAGGCCTAATTTGTGCACGGCTGAGCCTAAACAACACAAGGTCCGGCCCAAGACATTGACACAGTGCATCCTCCTAAAATCAGCCACACATTTTGTTCAACCATTTTACCCTCCATCCTACAAAATCCTCCATTTTGCAAAGAGGATTTTGGATGATTTGGGAAGGTTACGGTTAAAGATTCCAGCAAACCGCGTGCATGTATGAGAAAGCGACCATGGCATTGGACGCATGTGCACAATGGGCTAATTTAAGTTGGATCCGAGAACATGCACTTTTTTTTTATAATACTGGCACATATTATATATAAGGATTACCATGTGTAAAAAGTTTGCATGCAAATTATAAAACAGTCGAAATGATGTATAGTGAGATCAGCTTTTGTTTATTAGTTCCCCCCCCCCTCCTATTTTTTTTGCATTCCTTCCCATACAGGGTGAGTAAAAAAAAGGCTGAACGCAAACCCCCAAAAATATACATGTATTTCATATTAAAGAAAAAAAGATGTAGTAACAACAATAATAATGACTGGAAAGCTAATTTCATAAACTACTTGTAGATGAAAAGATTATTGAAATTGCTCAATCCGTTCAAAGAATATAACCATTTAAAACGCAATGTCCCTAAAACATGTTTCGTCCCCCCCCCCCCCCCCCAAAAAAATTACAATTTATTGTGTGTCCCGACTGTTTGGAACAAACAACAAAGAAAATGACACAGAATACTTGTTTCAACAACTGTCAACAACTGCAGTACACAATGTCTTTATTAACAATCGCGCTTAGGCAAACAATGTGATTTATAAAATGCCCTTTAAAAAAAAAAGACGGGCCTTCAAAAGGACTTTGTTGAATACTTTTAAACTGAGGTTTTATCGTGGGTGGTGTTTGAAGACATTGTGACGACGATTCTTAATCGCATTTTTGGACGAAAGAGGTTTTAGGGTCATTGCGTTTAAATGGTTAAAGATTTGCATACTTTGAACGGATTGAGCAATTTCAGTAATGTTTTCATCTAAAAGTAGTTTATGAAATTGGCTTTCCAGTCATTAATTTTGGTGCTGCAATTTTTATTAAAATAGAAATATATTTGTTTGGGTTTGGTTTCGCTTTTTTCACTTGCCATGTATATTCTCCTCACCATACATTTCAATTAAGTGGCCCTCCCCATAGTAATCCTTGCAATAGGAAGTAATAATTTTTCTGTTTTCTGTGGTTGATAACTCATCACCAAATTGGTGTTGATCATTGATCTTGGGTCGTGGACCCCGACACCGGTGATCTGTGATATAATCCCCCTACGACCAGGCAGTCAAGAAATGCAATTAACGCGATGAGAATTGTACACGCAAATGGTTTCTGCCCGGCTCTTGATCCTCATATGCGGTATAGTCAACTGTAATTAATGCAATTTAGGACGCGTTTTTCCCCCTGATAATATTTTAAATGGCTATATATGGATAATAATATACGCCCCGGCTTTCCATATATAACGACAATACGGATGATTTAAGGCAGCTCCCGTGTAAGTGTCCGTTCGGAGGGAGATATTTCGTACTTGAGAAAATATTGCCCTCAATTGCGTCGTAAATATTTATGCAAGGTGTAAATATTGACACAGTGATGACGAAAAGAATTTTTTTTTTCGCTTAAAACCTGAACCGTAATGGCGTGAGGTAGTCAAAATATTCAAGGATGCGAAAAAAAAACAGCGGGAGATAGGCTCTAAAATATCTTGTTTTCGTTGAAATAAAGTTAACGTGTGTATTTCGAGTGGCGACGTCTGCGCTTGAAGATTGCGTTTAGCCTCTTTTTCTTCAAAAATAATATAAACAACTGGCAAATTCCGTGTCACTCCAGTTGTGCAAACTACTGCACAAAGACTGCCGATTTCGTTTTAAATGTCGAACCACAGAGAAAATAGAGAATGAAATATTCCAGCTGTCGAAATACATTTATACATTCAGCACGAAGTGGCCGATCAAGTGATTCTTGCTTTTTGCAAACCGCTGATTGTATTGAAATAAATCGTAGGCCTACCCACGATACTTAATAAAAAAAATGTTGACAACCTCTCCACGACACGTTGTTTTCGCTAAAATGTGAAGAAAAAAAACGAGGGCCTTTTGCAAATTGTCATAGGGTTTACCAAAGATAAATCCTTTTCAAAAATTGAACTGTGGATATTGAATCACCCAAACATTGACAAATCATCGTATACCATTGATTACATTTAACTGCTGTCCCCGAACCACAATAATAAATTTGTTTTCTTGAAAATAACAACGTAAATTTAAGCTAACATGGCTCAATACAAACGCGAGGTTTGACTGCAGTCACTTTATTTTTTATTTTTTTTCAAAAACAGGGTGAGTCAAATAAAAGCGGAACCCATCCCCCAAAACTATATTTTATATTTAAAAAAAAAATGTAGCGCCCAAAATAACAATGACTGGAAAGCTATTTTATGAGCTACTTTTCGAAGAAAAAAAATACTGATATTGCTCAATCCGTTCGAAGAATATCACCATTTAAATGCAATGACCCTAAAACCTGTTTTGTCAACAACAAAAAATATTGTGGATTCTGACTGTTTGGAACAACAAAGGAAATGACACAGAATACTTGTTTGAAACAATTGTCAACAACTTAAGTACACAATATCTTTATCATCAACCCTGGTTAGGCAAACAATATGATTTATAAAAAAATAATCCACCCTTTTAAAAGACGGGCCTTCAAAAGAAATGTGTTGAATATTTTTAACTTTAAACTGAGGTTTTATCGCTGGTGATCTTTGAAAACAATTGTGACGACGATTCTTGAAATCGCATTTTTTGAGGAAATAGGTTTTAGGTTCATTTTGTTTAAGTGGTGATGTTTTTGAATGAATTGAACAATTTCAGTTATTTTAAATTTCATCTAAAATAGCTTATGAACTTGGCTTTCCAATCATTATTATTTTTGGTACTACACATGTTTTAAATATGAAATATAATTTGGGGATTTGGGTTCCGCATTTTTGGACTCGCCCTGTACAATTTTGTGCCTGCCAAGGCATTGTCATCATCACACCCTCTCGCCTGGCCACTTACCCGCCCGCTCAGAGATAAAGCTCGTGGCGTTATACGCCATATCAAAGAATTAAGCAAACAAGCCAGCACTCTTACAATGGAGACAATTATTCAATTGAAATATGACTCATTCGCTAATTCCCCGTGAGTTTGTGTGCTCAGTCATTGCCGAGGAATATCGGCTTGATGGTGTTTGGGCATTTTTATTCCGCTCGGATGCCCTCCGATTCGCGGTGTTTGTCGCTCATTTCCTCGCTAATTCTCGTGCGCCGCCACACGGACTTTTTTCCTCTTTGTCCCGATGCTGGCCGATTTGTTAAAGTGATTTGTGGGAGACGGCAGAGCCGTGCCCCGTGGGCGAAGCTGGTTGTGAGCGCCACGACCCAGCACTTATGTCATTAGTGCATACCCCTAGCATTGTTTTGTCTGTCATGGTTCTATAGTTTGCTCGTGGGCTGTTTGTCCCTCAGTCAGGCAAGCTGTCTGGTTGTCTGTCCGTCCAGACTGTCTGCCAGATGCCCGTTGCATTTCAGTCTCTGTGCAGTGAAAACATCGATCCAGCTCAGGAGGACAAGTACATGTATTAGGAACAGACGGCAAAGAGGCATCGCCTCCCTATCTATACTATAGAGGAATTACAAATTGGCACTGAAGCCGTGGGTCACAGTGCTGTGTTGTTGAGAGGATTAAAACAAAAGAAAAGGTCCTCAATTCATACAGTCGCTTAGAATTGAGAGTCTCAGTTTCAATGCTATTCGTCAAAACATGATATTCTTTTTGTTTGGATCAGTGTTGAATGTCTATAACCCCTTGACTTCCAAGATTTACCACTCCCTTTGGCGCACATAGGTTTCTCCTTATAAGGCAGTGTCATCGTTTTTTTGGTTACACCTCTATGTTCCGACACCCCTATGTTCCGACTGCACATATTCCTATTCCTAACCCTAACCCTAACCCTAACCGGGAGTAACACAATCTAGGTTGTCGGAACATAGGGGTGTCGGAACATAGAGCAGTCACCGTTTTTTTCTTCAAATTATGACCGGATCCTTATTTTGACATTTATGTTTGTTACCATGCGCTGGGAAACATTTGTATGAAAATGACGACTGTTAGTCTTTAGTGATTTACGTTGTGTGTAAGACTTGCACAAGATCAATTAGTCAAAACTAACTTTGGCGACCATGGGTGGGACGCAACTTTTATCCATTTGTGAGGATTTTTGAGAAATAGTCAAGTAAATTATTTCTTCCTCAAAAAAATGTAAAATGGCATCCATAATATTGAATGGAGTAGAAAGTTAGTCAACGTCACATCATGCTTGGTCAGTGGTACACACAGTGTATCAGATAATACAAATTATATCAGAAATATTTCAATTGTCAGTCGATAAAAATGCTATTTTGAAACCTGCGTTACAGTAGAAAAATAACTATGTTGCAAACCCACCGTTCCTCTTTTGCCAGCGATATTTCTTTTTGAAGTTAACATATACACTCGTTCAAAAAAGCTGATAGGGCTCCATACAAAATTCTCGCCAGTATACTAATAAAAATAAAAGTTCGATGGCATTTTCCATCGTAACGACCACATTACATGTATTTCGCTATCATCAATACAATTATCTCCAATTTATGTTCATGCTATACTCCAATCTTCGTCGTTACTTCACGGAGCTGTTTTTACAACTTTTCCTCTAGAAGGCAAATCGTCTAGCCCCACTCTGTTGTTTCACGTGATCAATTATTTTCCAATAGCCAGGGGAGAGACTGCCAAAGAAAACACGGGCAGCCTCTTTCCTGTTCAAATATCGGTTGAAACGCTTGGTTTATATACCGGGATATGCCTCGGCGGCATATTTACGGAGTGCTTAGCTCGCGTATCCCCTTGTGAAAAGCTGTCATGTTTTTTTTTGTTTTTTTTTTTTGTATAGGAAGATTTCTAGGGCATGCACCCAAGGGCTGAGATGAGCTTTCTAACGAGCAAGCAATTAGCGTGAAGCCATGTGGACGTGTCCGGAAACGAATTCTACACTGACACATGATTTTTCTGTGCAAAAATATCTAAGCCGTTGAGTTGTGTATAAAAAGAAAATAGCGAGACCACATTTGAATTTCAGCTTCAAAGTGTAGATTTTGAAACATGTGCATGCTTGTTCTTCACGACACTTGGGAATTGTCACTGTAACGCCACAGCGTCCATGACATTGACATTTGACATTGACATTTTTTTCTAGAAACGTATGTTGTGCAACGGTCCTCGTAAGTGTGTGAAAATTTTGTTGACATTTCTGTTTGGTTAATTCTATTCAAAAGTGCTCTTCCGGACAAAAGGAGGCGTTGTTGCTGTGATGTCCAGGGCCCCCAAGGAGAACAGTTCATTGACAACTGATGGGGCTACCCTGGTAAATAACACGCAATAAATAAATAAATTTAATAAATTTCAGGAAGAAACCGTTCAGTTTAGGGGTTTTCTGTTCAAATTGTGAACTCAAATATGTGTTCTTTGAAAACATTTCTGAAACAAAGTTTGCTATTTGGCCTACGGCCATGTTCCGACACAAGAACCAATCACAAAAGAAAAGAAAATATATGACAGCAAAATGTCCAAAACTCTTGCAACTTTTGTTGCTGAAAAAGCTGTAACATTGAGGGTTTCGGTCTGAAATGACATCACATTTTTGCTCATGAATATGTGAAAATCTGTATAAGCATAAAAAGCAAAAAAAAAAAAAAAAAAAAAGAACCAAACAAAAAATATCGTTGAAAATGGCAAAACGAAATAGCTTTTGGGAAAAGGGTAACAATTTAAGGTTGCTCATTAAGTTGACGACAGTACTCAACCAAACTCGAAAAGAAATTAATAAATAAATTAAAAAACAAAAGTTTAAGCACAGAATTTTCTGACACCTTGTCTGTCTTTGCAAGTCTTGGGGTGGCCAGTTATTTCGTATTTTAGCACACTTCTTTGCCTTTGTGATAAGCATGATAATGAACACTGTCGGAACATTAGGCCTATAATTAACGTACTATTATTTTTCAGAATTGCATGTGATATGACAATACAGATAGAACAATGACAAGACTGGGCGATTTATTAGGTGAAGTTCTGTAGGTCATGTTCCACGCTCCATGTACAGTACAATCAAGTAACCATGAGCGGTATAGGTCAAAGGTTATATGAATATGCATGGCATTACAATGCATTGGACTGTTTTACCTTTTTTGCCTAATTAAGTTAAAATTAACGAAGATCACACAAATGTACAGAGATGTAGTCGAGTACTTTCCGAGTACTGTCCGAGTACTTTGTTTGCTACTAAATATGGAGCTGTTTCTTGCAAACAATGTGAGAGAAACATTGACAGTAGATAGCAAATATTGTTAGCGTTTGAAAACAAATAAACCTGAGACTTCAGATATATCAAAAATTCATTTTCAATTTAAAATCTGGGACGGAAGCACTCAAAAAGTACTCGGAAAGTACTCGGCGAGTACTTTTCGAATGATTTTGTCTCAAAAGCTTAGTTTTTTTACAAGATTCTGATTGTCCAAGTTCTTCAATGCTTTTGGCAAGAATTAACTGTCCAATGTCTGTATTATGCAGCTTTATCCATACCAAAACCATCTTAATATCTGGAAGTAAACCTGGTACTCAGAAAGTACTCGACTACAACTCTGCAAATTTATATCGTATCTGAGGATGTTATGCCCTCTACATGTACGTGTACTTGATAAACATTATCTGTGTCTCAATTCATATTTTTTTTGAGGATCTCAAACTTTGAAGGAAGTTTGCTGGACTACTTGGGACGAAAGCTGCGATGCTTTCTTCAACCCGTACGAGCATTCATCCAGATTCCTCCGATTTGGCCGGGAGCAAAATTCGCACAACATCCCGCACACTTTCCGTCTCGCAATCGGGCCGTGAGATGGCCTAATTTCCCCGCCGTTAGAAGCCCAAACAGCCCCCGGTGAAAAGCCACACCGATCCCCGCTGATGAAATTAATATCGCCGGAACAGCCCCATCGCTTCGCCATCTCGCTGGCGTGCTCGGGGGCTTTGCTGGGGCCGTGCAGATCTCGAATTAAAATCGCAACGCCTGCGCGTGAAGTGAAAATTAGCCTGGGCTTCTGTGTCTCATACAATTCCACTATAAGTTATACTTTCCGAGGCAGACGGAATCAGGCTAGGGATTTGCCAGCGGATCGCGCTGGATTATGTTTTGATATTGTAAATTAATTTTGTGCTGGTGGCCTATTGAGTGCAGGCTGATGTGTAAAGGTATGCGGTGTGCAGTAGGTTAGTCAAATTAAAGGTTGACCTATTAAAATAGAAAGCAGTGATCTCTATCACTGCCCTAGTTGGCCTATCTATGAGTCATTTTTTGGAGATTGCTAAAATTTCTTCCTTTTTAACCGAACGGAACATTATAAAATTAAAGCAGTTCTAATATGATATTGCCATCTTGAAACACGTGGCAACTATACTTCGTCATTTAAATTACATTTTAAAGTTCACATTTGACATACTCTGTCCTCGTGAATGAATTAATCATGCTTGGTATTTGGGTCAAGCATCATTTGGTTTTTATTACATTTTCTTACGAAATCATCCCATAATAATGAAGTTGGAGTTTTATATGCCAAACCAATAAATTACAAACTGAGCGTATTTTTATATTGAGCATACACCTTTTCCTGCAGTGTAGGTATCGGCATTATCTCCGTGTTGTAATTCCGTTATGTAATTCAGACTTACTACAAGTAACGTTTTAAATATTCTGGCTAATTAACACTTAATCACGATGATGAAATTTTATCTCCCGGCAATTTTCTCTCAAAATCCGTCATTTTGAGACGACGATGACACCAGAAATAGCTGCCATTTTGAAATGGAAGGTCAACTTACAAGGTTACGGAGTTTGCGCAGTAGAGCGATGACCTCTCCCACTGTAGACTCGATGACGGACAGTCGAACTCGCTCCGTCTCCAGCGACTGGATCTCCGTCTGGTACTTCTCGTTCTCTTGGAGTTTGACGTTCAGCTCCTGCAGTAGGTCGGCTCGGATCTGCCAAAAAAGTCAAGTGCAGCAAAGAATAGGCCGACGTGTCAAAATCACAAGCTTGTTTCGAGTAGTCCGCAGACTTTTTGGGGAAGGGACAAATCTGAGCCTCGATTCTCAATCGGGCATAAAAAAGACCGCGGAGTTATAGTAATGTACGGGATCACGTAAATCTTACTAAAACAACTGTAGACAAATCACTTTCAATGATTAATGAAGTTGTCTTTCTCGACCTAATATGGATCATCAAGTCGTGTTTACTTCTGGGCGGAAAGAGGCCAGTATGGGTAAACTGACTTGCCCATGGACAGAACATTTATGGCCTCCTGCTTCTAAACATAAATGCATATATTTACGTCATAGCAAGAATAATACATAATCCCGCACAGGTACTAGGTACCCCTTAGCCCTCTGTCGCGTCTGTGGTCAAAGTTGCACTACTGACTATATTATAGGAGACGGAAATGCAGACATGAACGGAAGCATCGCGAATTCAAATTCTTCCACTTGTAATGTTTGCGCAGTATTAACGCAATGTATTCATGTTGATTAATACCCCTCTTGGTGTTTTCCTTTTTCTTGAAGGGGGGAGGGGGCAATTTGTTTGGGTGGGGCAGCCGCCCTCATTTTCGCACGGCCCTTATTTCGTGACTGTGTGACGTCACGGCAAGAAGTCGCATCGCATTCCTGGCGAAGTTTGCCGCAAATAAATCCGTTTTAAAGCCCGGTTCATACTTCATGCGAATGCGAAGCGAATTTGACGTCATGAAACATTCTCTGCGAAATTCGCTCGAGTTGAAATATGTTCAACTTTTACGAATTCGCAGCGCGAATACTTGCCATGACGTCACAAATTCTCGTTCGCGTTCGCTTTCGCGCCGAGTGTGAACCGGGCTTAATTCAAAATACTCCACGTGTAGAATAAACCGGTCTGTTCTGTATAACTTTAAATTTCTTCAGCGCGAGAAGAGTCTAGCAGGTCTCTTATGCGATGCCAAGTCCTTTAATGTATCTTTAGACTGCTAGTGCCAGACCCCCGAAGAGTGCCCTCCAGAACAACTCACAGTATTCACCTCCTCGTTCGGCCCCTTTTTGTAATCTGCCCCGCCCTATAAGTTAGGCTAAGTCTTCCTATTTAAATAAAAGTCTAGCTCCCCCCCCCCCCCCCGAAAAAAATTCCCTTAATAGAACCGCGACAGGGAGATTTATCTGGGCAATAATCAGCAGACTGGCTGGCAATCCAATAACCCAGTTTACCGCAGTCACACTCTGGGCGCTGCGGCCCTCCTAAGCTATAGACGGCGATGATGTTTGAATGAATTCCTGATCCCGCCCGGCCCGGCCGTTTCCCCCGCCGGTACTCATTATGTACGGCTGAACGACAACCTATTTTTATTGGACTAAATGGTTGGTGAAAGGAGGGTATACCTCTGCGCCGGAGTGAGACAGAATTTCATCAGTCACCGTTCCATGTTACAGTTTGAGGTTGTGGACGTACTATTAAATATAATTGTCATTCCCCCATGGTATGATAAGGTTGGCAAGGGCCAAGTCTAACCCTTAAAATAATGATAAAAAACAGGGACTTCTTTTTTTTTTTCAAAGTGAGTAAATGTAAACAAGCAAAGAGACATCAGAAGATAATTTCCTCTTAGCTCAGAAAAAAAAATTCACTCAAAATTGCAACCTGTCTAAAAATGTCAACATTTGTTCTTTCCTTGACAGGAAAATAATGTACAACCCGAGTTGGCAAACACCATTAATAACACTGCCGTTCTAATGCTCTTCTCAATGGCACCGCATCCCTGTCTTGGGATACAGAAACTTGTCAGGTTTCCTGCCCCTCCCTGCCCCACCAATCCCCTACTTGCCACTTGTGCCAGTCGCGTGGTATTTGGTGGCACCAGATTTCTAGCACACAGAGCAGCAGAAGGACTGCACCCATAATGAGTTTGTCATGAAACGTATTACATGTATTAGAAATTCATGAAAACAATAGAAAGGCGATCAGAAAATTACCTGTACAGCAAACAGCAGTAAAATGCACAAGAGTGAAAGGCTCTCTCTTTAATTTTCAAATGATTTATCACTGGTTTAAAGCTGACTTAACAAAACTAAACGGGAAATTCACGTTGTTATAATTATACATAGTTTGCTCCAAAACTATTACGTCAGTAATTCTAATGGCCAAGACATCTATGAAGCAAAATATGCCAGTGCAGTCTTTCTTTCAAATCCGCCTTGGCAGAGGCTAATGGGCAGATTCCCACGTTGCTAATGCAATTTTGGAATATAAAATGTACATCGAAACCGAGGCTCTCGATGTTAAGCCCTCATCTGACGCTGTAGACAGTTTGTCTTTATCATCTCCATACTATGGTACCGTTGATGGCCTCGATTTCGATGCTAATTTCAAATTCGTCCATAAATCCTATAACAGCTGCCCCTTGGCATTGAGATCTCTAGCTCAAGAGGCTAATTGGCTCCGTTCACCTCAGGTGGAAAATAAGCTGACGGTTTTCCGTGGCGTAAACCGTGTAAGGCCGCGCCGAGCAGCAAAACCGCTGGCCATCCCCTTTTCATCACTTAAACCCAGTCACTTTAGGCAAGTGTTATGGGATAACACTTATCGCAGTGTCGCTAATAAGGTATGAACATCTTGCTCATAGATTGAACATTATATTTGCAATTGGCTGGTGTACGTTGTACGCTACGATCCTAGATCATGATCCTAGCTATGGTGCTGCGAAGCGAAGGACTTTTGAATGCTGTTGAAGTTCCTTAAGTACAACACGTGCCCATTCTGCACGAGCAAAGGTCCCCAAGACAGTGGCTAGCTTTTCTCTAAAGCCAAAGCTGGAAACCGAGCCAAGCTTTCTATAGTTGCGAAATAAACTATAGGGGAAGGTGCAAGGAGAAATGGGCTACTCGCTCAGGGCTCCCCCATGAGCCGGATGGCCTCTCGAATTATAGCCGCACCCGAAGACAAAACCAAAGTTTCGAGAATACCAAAAGAAACCGCTCACTTTAAATGTCTCACTCAGTCATGTGCCGATGCTCTCTTGACGCATCGTCATCGTAGCCTATTGACGAACCCGTGTGCACCTGCCGAACTGTAATAACATGAGCCGCCCGGCCGCCTATCATGGACGGTGTCAACATCTCGATAGCAACAACAGGCAGCGAGTGGGGGATCGGGTGAGACAGTGAAAGGTGTCTGGATACTGGCAAGACACTCCGTCAACATAGTCCATCAAAATGAGTCACTTTGCCGGTAAAAAGGGTGCACCAGTTCTTGGAGGGGACGGGTGGGCGACGTTCCAGTTTCAGACAGGGGATGTCGGGGTCTTCCATGTTTTACAACTCTCATCAAAATCAGGTGCTCGTCAATCGTTTGTCAACATTCTAGATCACGTTCGTGGTGTATAAACAACGAGAGATCGGTCTTTGACGTTTTGGTAGGTTTTGTAAAATTGTGCCCTCCCTCAATTAATGTAGCCATTACGGGTACAACTGCATATTTTGTTCGGTTCAGATTTTATTTACTGACCGATCGATCCTACTTCAGAGGCAAAAAATATGAGAAAGGCGCTTATAATAATTCCCCAACTGCTGCCCCTTTCTCTGGAAAACACAAACGCCTCTTGATGAGTGGATAGCCAATTCCTAAATCGAGGACCTTAATAATTCAAGCTAACCCATCAAAACAATCTAAGATGTAAACGAAAACAATCCTCAGTTGAAGTGGACTTTATTTTAGGAAACCTTGCCATCCTTATTCCTATATAAGAAAGAAGCAAGCATGTGTCCCTTACCTGTTTAAACTTGCCCTCTGCTTGACCTTTCTCGACTTCCGTCTCCAACAGGTGTTTTTGCACCTGCGTCAGCTTGATCAGCCAATCAGCGTCGTTCAGGCCCCCGGTCAGCGCTGAGTTTGCGCAGTTTTCGTTGTTATTGTTGGTGTTGTTATTATTGTTGTTGTTTGCTTCTTCCTGCCAGGCTGATTCTTCGTCGGATGCTTGGGGAGGATACGAATAAAACCGAGGACAGCTCACTGATGAGTTATTGAAAGGACGGTTGGCGATACATCAATTTCATTTACCAGAAAAAAAACATGTTTATCACGAAGTGATTTCAAAATTTGTCAAAGCCTCTTTATGTAAACACTTTGATAAAAGGAAAGTCTCTTGGTTGGTTGCTTGCCGGTTTAGGAGATGGAGAACTAAAATTGCTTTAATAAAAATATTCCAACTGAAATGATTTGCTCAGGTTATCCCTGACAAGCTGCCTCTACCCCGACAGTAGGATAAAAATATGACTTCACAGTAAACTAGTTTGATTTTGTTGGAGTCCTTCCATGGCAACTGTTCCATGATAATCGGTTTACGTTCCAATAGAGGATAATGATTGGTGTTCCTCATGAATGTAAGAGTTTATCCAGGAATCAACCCGTCGTATTGACAAAACGTGACAGTGACTCATTAAGTTAAGGCTAATGATTTCATGAAAAAGACACTTCCTTACATGCACGAGGTAGAATCTCTCCTCAGATGTAAGAAGGTTACTGTGTACTTCTGAAAACCTTTAGGAAAACATACAAGTCATTTCAGTGTATAATTGTTTTCCTAGGCCTATGCTAAAGTTACAACTTACTGCTTCCACTTCCCAGCGAGCTGCTATCGGCTTCGCTGCCGGCCGAGGTCGGTGAGCCCCGTTCGCTGTCAGATACGCAGCCCGAGTCCATACCGGTCAGGTGATCGGCTCCGGAGTCCTCCGAGGAGCCAGCGGAATCTTCCGAAGAGGTCGCGGAATCTTCTGAAGGGGCTCCCGACTCTTCACAGGAGGCTCCCGACTCTTCCGTGGAGGTTCCGGACTCTTCCGAGGAGCCTCCGGACTCTCCCGAGGTCGAGATCGCGGAGGCCTCGGAGGCTCCACCGGAGTCTTCCGAGCATCGACTGGAGGACTCGCCATTAGGGTTCGGGCCTTCACTGTGGACAAAAGGGAAAAGTTATGCAGACATTTGCAAGACTACAATGATTTGGGAGAGGGAAATTCAAACTTTTCAAAGACTCGTCATAAGAGGTTCGAAAAACGTTGTCTTTGGTATACTTTGGCTCCGATATAAAGATCATTGAAAGAAAACGTCATACATTAATACCGGACGTAATCTACCAACAATTAGGTACTCAAGGCGCTGGTACTTATGCCTATCTTTAAAGACAGGTAAATGAAGTTTATGAGAAATATGAGACCCATTATGTAGCACCTTTATAAGGGTTGACAAGGTGCTGCGGCCACTGCCAGAAACACCGGGGCAAACCCCTTCTCTTAGCGATAGGCGTTACTGGGTTCGTTAACGTGCATTACACAACACACGGGACATACGGCTTTACGTCCCATCCGAAGGACGAAGCAATAATGGTAAAGTGCCTTGCTCAAGAGCACAAGCACCATGTTCCCCGTCAGGATTCGGACCCATGTACCACGGCACACGAGTCAAACACCGTCTAACCATTGGACCACAGCACCCCATACGTGCAGCAAGCGTAATTTTTATTCCTAGGAGGGTTAGGGGCAATGTCATGAATAATTCATGTTTATCCATGAGAACGGACAATGACATCAACAGCATTGTTGTTAGTTACTCAACTAGTTACAATACATTAAAGCATTTTAAAGAACGGTTGTCGTCGAGCTACCACACAGTAGCCTAGTGGATAGCGAGATGAGCTATGGATACAAAGATCCCTGGTTCGAATCCACGTCGTCGCTGCTCATTTTCATCAGCTATTTTTCTTCTCCAAATTTATCACTGAGATAATTTTAAATTAAGGGGAAAATAGAACGAGAACCTAAGTCTTGCAATGATTCAAAGGAAAAACTGAATTATTCATGACATTGCCCCTAACCCTCCGAGGAAAAAAAATTACGCGTGCAGCAATTAGGTATTGATAGTGACAATTGTAAATGTCAGCGTGCCATCGTTCATGTCATTGATTTGTCATTGTCACAGTTGGTTTAACAACGTGCGTCTCAGATCATAGACCCGAGATGAGCACTTCCGTGTGGGCACGGCTTAGGATGTATGGAATGTGGGTGATGATCTCGCCGATTAGATGCCTACAATACCTGGCGACTCCTTTACAAAAAAAACTGACAATGGCCCCCTTCGATGGGGTGGTAGATGTATTGAGTAGGCTGAGCTTATTTTATTTTTATTTTTATTTTTTTTGGGGGGGGGGGTACGATGTAAGTGTCAATCCATGTTGTAAGTATCCACTTAAGAATGAATTGTTAGTTTAAAGATAATAATAAATAAATAATTATGCTATTTATTGAGTGCAAATTTTATATTAAAAATATTTTTAAAAAAAATAATGCACTTTACAATAATTAAAATTGGGTACCTTATAGTAGTGATGATTCAAATGCATTAACATCATCAGATACATTGTAATCACCAGATAAACATTGAAATTATCAATGTAAATCAGAAAAAAAAACACTGAAAGACATCATTTAAGATTAGTGATAAGTTAAATTCATTCCAAAGCTTACAATAAAATCCTTTACAAATCAAAAGCAGTTTGAAAGAGATGACTTTTCAGCAGCGTCTTAAACTTTTTAAGCTGGTGGCATTTCTCATATGAACTTGTAACCTGTTCCTCAGAGAAGGGCAACATATTGAAAGGCCTGATCACCCATGAGCCTCTGCTACGAGTAGTTTGAAGTTTAGTTTCAGAGGAAGAACGGACAATCTTGAGTTATTTAGAGTTTAGTTTAGAGGAAGTGTCCGCAATCAGAATAAACAATGCAAACACGGCAGGGTTTAAAGGTAGAGTCCATCATTTGTAATTTGTGCATTTTGTTCGTTTGAATCAACAAAAGAGTTCAAAATCTAATGTAGGATACTGAACAACTAACCTGATGAAGTTTCAGCTAAGCTTCAGCTGTACATTCCGAGAAAAACAGCATTCTAAGATCTCAATTTCAAATCAAAAGTTGCTGAATCATGTTTTGAATTGTTTTGAATTGCAACTATACGCGACGTCGCGCACTGATCCGACGAATTATAACAACCGCGCGCGCGTGTGCGTCGTTCGAATACTTGTGCGCGCTGCGCTGAATAACAAAACGAACTACTAATTTAAATTTTCCTACGGTGCTTCTTAAGAATCACCGTTGGAAATGCCTTCTTTCGTTGATTACTTCAAAATGACAGCTTCCCAGAAAGAATAATTTCACAGGGAGTTTAGTCTCCTTACTATCTTTCAACCAAGTTAGTTTTTCAACAATAATTACGCCAGTTACTTTTCGGATGGCTGCAAATGATGGACTCTACCTTTAATTGACATCTTGTGATATGAACAAGTGATTCAGGTTTTGCAGAGAAGTCGAGATTCGCATCTGGATTGCATAATTTCTGGAAGGAGTAGTGTTTGAGTAAAAAACAAAATCAGGTTTTTAACTCCAGTGACCCCATGATGACCTTTGACCCCAGTTTGGTCATGTGACATGTTGGGGCTGGGCTACTGCTGCTTTTGACAAAGTTTGATTGAAATCGGTCAGAATATGTAGGAGCAATAGACAATGTCAACGTTTGTTACTAACTAACTAACTAACCAACGGAGCTACATGATGATTCGTTGAGTTGCTATCCCGCAGCTAAAGACGTAGATGTGAAATAACTGAATAACTGACATTTTGAGAAGTTCTGATCATGAATACAAATAACTTTTCAAAACCGATCCAGCTTGGAATTCGGCCAAGGCTATTTATATTGACAATAACAGTGACTCACACGTGCAAGTCATATTATAGAGTGGAGATGGGACCGGGGTGAATCACCTAAGAATCTGCCCGTGTCACACGGTCCAAAGCCTCTACAAATTCTAGAATGATGTGTGAACGGTTTGGGAATTTGTGACAGGCGGACAATGGTTGGCAGGGATAAAAAAGGGGCGAGGATCGTGTTGTGATTTGGGATCAGTGGATGCGTCGTTCGACAGATGAGCTGTTGAACTGATGGGTCGCGGTGCGATGCGAAGGAGTGTTGATTGAAATTGCTTCGGCGATGGATTCACTGATATGTCCATTATGAGTAGTGTTTTACGAACCACGGGCCTTGTACGTTATTGGAGTGTTTGTGCCGTGTCCATTAGCCTCACAAATTATACTGTATAAGATGCCGTTGTTTACTTGATGCTTGCCCTATAATTAATGTAACTTTATTAGTTGAGTCATTTTTTGAGTGCGGCAAGTGTAAACAAATGCAAAGGGTAGGATTTAGGCTTGAGCCACTATAGACAATGTGGGCTAAGTACTTGGGCTTTTGACTGAGAGCAGCAATTTGAGTATTTGGACTGAAGGAATATTGAAGATACTCAACAATTCATGATTAGCGGGGAAAAAAACGTTGACGGTACTGCTCATAATTGCATATCTGGTTATCTGGATATGTTGGCCTATTATGTGCGTTGGCTTTGTTCCAACACTGCCACACTGCACCCGCAAACGAACCTTTTTCTTTGTTTACCTTTCCACCATAAGCTAGTGAGTAGCTGCTCTATGATATTCGCAAAGATAATTAATTATGCAAAACAAGACTGCGCCTTGACATCCAGATTCTGACCATTTAGAGCGCGCCTTTTGTCGGGTATTCCGTAACCCGCTGTTGTATTACACAACAATGGCATCCAAATTGTCCAATCAACAGCTTAGTCCACATTTCTGATCGAAATGAGGTCACAGTTTTTATAAAATTCGACTGCGATTGGCTGGCGCGGGGGTCGCATAAATGTGCATGCTACATCAGACATTCGCACAGTGGCTCTGCACAAGTGGATGTCTGGTCCTCAAATAACCATACTCATACAAAGCTTCAATTAATTTTTTTCAATCCTACTTTAAACTGGTTGAGTCTCGATAGTCCGAAGTCCCATTGGTCCGAAGTCCCACTGGTCCGAAACATACTACTGTGTAGTTCCACTTGTTCAGGTTGATTGACCCTAACCCTAACCCTAATCCTATGGGGCGTCGGACCAATGGGACTTCGGACCAATGGGACTTCGGACCAATGGGACTTCGGACCAATGGGACTTCGGACCAATGGGACTTCGGACCAATGGGACTTCGGACTATAGAGACGTCCCCCTTTAAACCCAGTCTATGTAAACTTATTACTCGGGCTTTAAATTTAAAACCTTACAGGTCAGAAAACTGGGGGACTCGGAAAATGCCTCGCGAGTACAACACGGCTGCAGATGCCTGTGTTGTCTCCTGCTATAGTGCTCTATTCCCGTATTAATTTCCACACGTCTTTGTTCTTATTCCAGTTTTTTTCTTTGGTCTCTGTTGAAGCGGCCAAGTCAGAGACCGTCTGGCCTCGGAGAACGCAGCGGGGAACCACCTGGTTCATCTCATCCTCTTTCATCCGATTTCATCTTCGGACAACAAAAGAACTCGATCGAAATCATGCCCAGCAGCGGCCGGGGGCCCCTGCCGAGTTTGGCGGAATGCAGGCGGCAGAGCTGGGCCTTCTATAGGGACGGTCCCGTGGTGCTGTGTTTTTCTTCGTCTTTATAGCTCAGGTGGAAAACAAGGGGGGAAATGCCTTGATGAACAAGATATCGTACACGCCTGGCTTGACTTTATTATATATATCTCATTTGATGCAGGTCCAATACCCATTGTGGTCCATGCGTCTGCAACATCATCAGATTATTGTTTTAGCGTCTGACCTTGGCAGTCACTATTGAGACAACGATCAGTGCACCCGGTTGAGTGGGTCCGCGGAGGACAAAAAGTAATGCTCCGTACCTAATTGAAGCGAACAAAACGGCCGTTGGAGCACAATAATTTCAGACATAACTTGGACACTGAGTGGTTTTGTTTTGGTGATTCAGATTGGGGCCTTGAGTGCAGAAAATCATGCAAAACAAAATCAGACCCACTTTACCCACAATTTTGCAAACAAAATTCTCCAAAA